TACCCTTTTCACATCTACCGTAACTCACCAGGCAGATTGCAGATTCTTGGCGTGCTGGTCACTCCCAGCACTTCACATACCAGTGCTTAATATGATGATGTAAATGACTATCAAAAGTGCCTTAATCTCCCTTCCAAGATGATTAAAGTTTTAGAAAGTTCTTTAGCAGTTGAATTTTACATTTAGTGTTCAAAGATGTTAAATCTTGAGTGTCACAAGTGAATACATGGGCTTAATACAGTGTAACATCTTTAGGCAAGAAAATCATCTATTGTCAAGCAACAACAACAGTAAAGAAAACCATCTTTCTAGAAATGTATTTAATGAACTGCTGATTGAAATAATTCCTTTTCCACATAATTTTGTTTCTCATTTTCAAAAACCTGTAATAGGAGTGATTTGGGCTTTGCCTCCACCCCCACTCTGATTTCCACAAGAAAACCATCAATTATATTATACGAATAGCTAATGTTTGTTCAACTTTATGTAAAATACTGCATAAATGCAGCTTTTGATCAAGTTCCCTAATCACACTGCTTTTAGCTAGAATGGTAACCTAACTTCTGTAAAGATACCAAAATTGACTTTAATTAGTAAAATGATCTCTTGGGCAGAAGTGAGACAGTGGTGAAAGATGCAATTGTAAAGGAGGATAATAACCAGTTTGAGAAATCCTTGAGTGCCCATGAAGAAACTTGGACTTTGTCCTGAAACAAGAACTCATGAGAAGTTCTTGGTGCCTCAGAGAGGCAGGATGAGAGATGGATCAATGTATAAAGAGGCTATTTAGCAATAGTTAGGAAAGATAATTAGAAATACACAAGACACCCAGAAAACTTGAAGTAATCCAACAGAAGGTGATGGGACTCTGGGTAAATGTGATAAAATTAGGGTGGAAAAAGAATATACAAGAAAAACATTAGTTTAAAAAAAATCAAGAGAACTTTCATGGATGACAATTAAATTGTTATCATTACTGCTCTGATTTACATAGATACGCTGTTATATCAAAACTACCAAGCAAAACAAGTCCTACAAATATGCTTATTATTTTCCATATACATCTATGTTGATTTTTTGATGTTTCACTGACTATGCAATTTGTGACATAATTTCCCTTACTAGGACAGGTAAAGTGTGATAGAAAGATCACAATTTGCAGCCAGCTTTGGAGGCTGGCTACCCTGCCCTCTCAAACTGAGAAAGCCATTGTGATCTATGAGATCCTATACAGATATAGTGTGGAGCCTAAAAATCCCTTCAAAACAAATTCTGCCAACCCATAAATTGGCTATACTCTTATAAGTTTTAATGTATTTTTAAAATGAATTTAATTCTTTCAAATTCTAAACAGCATAGAAATTCTGACATCAATAAATATTGTTTTAATGCAGTGACATCAATAAATAATGTTTTAATTATAGGGATCTATAAAAATTTAAAAATAAATACTATTTGCTTTATAAATTTTGTCTCCTTTTTAGTCACATTTTTCAAAATATTTGATTTTGGTTTAGCAATTTTTCTCAGCTTTGTCTTTTTCTTTGAAAACAGAAAAGTTAGGTTAACATCAAGTCTACTTATGAAACCTAAGAGATTCCTGATGCCAGTAGATCTGTTCAAGAATATAAGGTGAATACTACAGAATTTTACCTTAGCATTCCATAGTTGGATAACAAAAATGTGTTAAATACATGATTAATAGTAAATTTTGATACATGGGTGAAGATGAAGGTACTGACTTATGGTTTTTGACTGCCCTCATATTTATACTTTATTGGTTCTATGACAATATGAGTGAAGAGTAGAAAAACTAAAAGGACGCTAAATGCGTATGCGTGCATTGATGTTCCTAGTCATCAGTGCTGCGAATTATAAAAGTAGGGTTTTCTAATATGCATGATGGGAAATTTATAGATATATAACTTAATTGTCACACAAAAACACATATAGACTTGAAATACACACACACACACACACACACACACACACACACACACACACACACGAAATTTGTACCCCAACAGAAATAACTAATTTCTACCCAGTAAAACATTTAAAACTTTTTAAGAAGATTGGTTTCCCCTGGGTTTAGATTTAAAAGAAGTCTGAAAAATACTTAAGTTTTTTGCAGCGTGCATAGCAATAGTGGACCTCTGCCAGCAAAGGGCTTTATCGCAGTATAAATGGGGTTGAAGTGTTTGTCTCCAGGCAGGTTCTCGCAGCCCAGGCACTTCCCAGCCTCATTGTTCCTTTGTTCTAGCGGATGTACAAAGGGTTGGCTGTTTTGTTTTCTGGCTCAGAGAGATTAGATAAAGTCTGCATTTTTGAACTTCACCCTTTAGACATACAAACTTTAAAAATTCATTCTCGATAGATCGCATTTTGCAGATTATATGTGTTTATATTACATTGCTCCCATTATTTTCCTTAGCCTTCCTCTGACTTGGTAGCAGACAGATGACAGGATTCATCCCTTTTGGACTATCACTGGAAACTGCTGTCTTTCTAATCCTTGTTCTTAACATGCTACTTCAGCAAAAATGCATCTTCTCATTTTGGGTACCACATTCTTGAGACTTAGAATCTCATGATAAAGAAATGTCATGCTCTGGCCAGGCAACAAGAAAACTTTCTGTGAGAGGAAATTATCTCTTTCCTTTTATTATGACATTGTTAATCATAAGCTGTTATACAGGACAGAGGATTTAAATTAATATTGACCCTCACAAGAAACAGTAGCTTCTTCTCAAGAACCTATAAATAAGAGTCATATTGGAGATTTTTAATTTTATCTTAAGGGTCAGAAAGTTAGTTCTAAGATTTTACTAAGGCTTTACTATCACAGAAGTAAGACTAAGTAATGTTTAAAAATATTTTTGTTTTCCTTTACTTCTGTTTTATCAGTGATTTAGAAGAAAATGTCTTTTACAATCAAATAGAAATAAGTACATATTACTGCTCGTTACAAGCCAGTTAAGATCTCTTCTATGTGTTGCTAATTCTCAAAACCCTCATGCAATGTAAGTATTATATCATTATACTTTCCAGATGGATGGGAAAACAAAGACTTAAGTGGGTTAACTAACTTGCTCAAAGTCCCATGACTGTGAAGGAGCTGAGAGTCAACTATGGCTCCATCTGACTCCAAAGCCCATGCTGTCTACACTAATGTCACTGCTTCTCTGGCATTACCTTTTCTGCTGACAGGATAATAATAGAAATAGCTACCACTGAGACAAACTACATGCCAGATACTGTTCTAAGTGTTTTTTTCTATAATATCTAAGATCTTTATAACAACTCTATTAAAAACATTGTATTATTATTGGTATTGCATAGATAAGGTGGCTGAGACTCAGAGATGCTCATAAATAACCCAGCTACACAGCTATAGGGTTGGAGAGCCAGATTCAAGCCTAGACCATCAGACTATAGCCAATCCACTTCTGGTGAACCCAAGGTTGTGCTGCAGTGTGAATCATACAACCTTGTCTCCCAAGCTTTTCTATGCTTTAGACTCTGTGTTAGTCCATGCTTCAATCCACTGATGAGCTAATCTTTGTATTATTATTAATCTTACTGATAGTACAAAATGTTATGTGGCATGTTTAATTGTTGTATAAGGATGTACTTATATAAATCAATAACATGAAAACATTAGATTTTTTAGCCTATATAACCTATAAGGTCACTTTTCTACCCACGTAGTCTTATGAACTGTATGCCCACAAATACCTTTTGAATATAATGTGAAGTTATCTTATTTATTGTTGAATTTATATTAATCACAAGACAATATCTTCAAACTTATACTTTTCCAGGCCTAGAATTCCTGGCATTATTTTGTCAGACAAATACAGACTACTAGGAAGTTGACGGGAACTGAGGTTGTGTAGTCACACCACTAAAACAGATGACTTGGCCTTAAAAATTCGTCTTCAATGTCTTCATCCCATTTTCTAGAACAAGAACCATGCAGGATTTCTGAAAAATTCTCCTGTGTAGGAGTCTCTCAGTAGTACTTTCAGCATTCGAAGTGGGAAAGCCTTGTTTCTCAGATTCTTCTCAGTTACCAGAAGTATGGCTGCTCACTGAATACCACTGACCTTAGTTTCTACCCTGGCAGATGCTCTTCATCTGTCTAATGTCCGGAAGGGAAGAATCAACACAGGCAAAGCAGTATTCTTCAACTGACCATGGGATCGAAATGAACACTTGATGTCAAACTTCTCTATCATTACTTGCTCTGGACACTCCACTGTGCTCCAGGACTAAAATTTTAAAATTCTAGGGATACAAAGAAACCTAAGTGTTAAGAGAATCTATTTGGTAAGCCAAAACACCTACCTCGGAGTAACAATCAGACCTGCCATTTTGTTTTGTTTTGTTTTTTGGTGGGTTTTTTTTTTTTTTTTTTTGTCATTTAACAACTAAAAACCACCCACAGTTATGTATGCATGACACCAATAATCAGCAACCTCAGAAAAAGTGCAGTGTGAATTCCAAATTATTTCTTAACATCTTTTTTTCTGTTCAAATCTTGAGTATTTATCAAGGCACACCTTTGATATTCGTCAGTGTTTGAAGTTTGCTAAATATGCAAGCCAAACAAAATACAACCTTGCTTGAATTTTCAAAGTCAGAGCTACCAATAAAGTTTTATTAGAAAAAGGAATTCACGGGCTGGGGATTTAGCTCAGAGGCGTAAGTGCCTGCCTGGCAAGCATGAGGTCATGAGTTCGATCCTCAGTACCGCAAAAAAAAAAAAAAAAAAGAAAAGAAAAGAAAAGAAAAGAAAAAGGAATTCACATGACTGGTAGCTAAGTGTTTTTTATTTTTTAATAAAATGGTAGGTTTGGATGTGAAGCAAAATGTTAGTTTTCTGGGCAACAGATTCTTGAAGTTTTGAAAGAAAATGAATCTGGATTGTAGCAACATATGTGTTTATTTGCAAAGGCCTTCAATCTGTGTTCTCTTTCTTGAAACTTGCTTTGCAGATCCTTTACCTCCTGCTAGATTTGAGGTCAAGAAAGAAACGATTACTTCAAACAGCTTGCAAGTTAGGTGGACTCATTCTCCTGGAAAAGTCACCTGGTATGAGGTGCAGATATTTGATGATAATAGCAAAAAGATACAAAGGGTCCAACGTCAAGAAAGTACTTCATGGAATGAATGCACTTTTTTAAACCTCACTGCTGGCCATACGTATAATATTGCCATCACAGCTGTTTCTGGAAATAAAAGTTCCTCTACAGTTTACACCAATGCATCAACAGGTAAGACCTGTGTTGTCTGTAGTTAGTAATCTGTGGCACCTTTGCAGTTATATGTTACTCAAGGAATAGAAATGAGAATGTCCTCAGACTATAAACAGATAAACTCCCTAGCTTCTTAAAAGGCAGTTACTTGTGTGATACATATGAAAGACTAGACTAACGCAGGGGTCAGGGCTGTACCACTAACATGTTCAGCGACTTTGAACAAGTACTGGGACTTCTCTAGACCTAGAGTTTTGTCAAGTTTCAAGTAAATGCTCCCTAAAGGCCTTCTAATTCAAACCTTCGAAACAAGACTTTGCACCTCATTTTTTATGTTTATGCTATAAAACTTATCAGATAAACATTTTTCTCTTTTGTGCATTCTTCTCTTACCATAAAGTCATGATGTGTTCTAAATATCGCAGCTTGAAACAAGTCTTTTCTCCCGTTTGATGAAAAATAAGTCATGTAGTATTTGCATGTATCATGATCTCCATAGCGCATTTCTACTTCCTTCCACAAAAACACGTCTTTCATATTGTTTGTTCTTCTTTTTCTCTCTTGTTTTAGCTGCCTCTCTTTCCATTTTTCATATCTTACAGGTCTTTTCTTTGTCTTTTCTCTTTACTGCAATGCCATGTTATACTGCACTGGAAACAACTAACTTAAAACCCGCTAAGAAGAAGAGAAAGACAGATGAATTGATGCAGCTTTAGGCTGTGACTTTTGAAAAGCTCACTAATGAAGATTCAGTTAAATATGAAGAATGCTATTAACCATTATTGCTATTAAACAAGTTAAAATCTACAAAGAAGCATCAATGAGTTGTAACTTCTAATCAAATATGTCTATGTCCTCACTGAGGGGATTATTGAGTAACATTTGGACATGCATTTTATTCCACTAGCACCTTCTCCAGTAAAAGATATTGACATTTCCACCAAAACTAATTCTCTTCTGATTTCCTGGTCCCGTGGTTCTGGGAATGTGGAACAATACAGGCTGATGTTAACAGATAAAAATATCGTAGTTCATGACAATATTGTGGACAAACATGATACTTCTTATACTTTCCGCGGGCTGATCCCTGGCCACCTCTACAACTTCACTATCGTGACCATCGCTGCAGGACTACAAAATTACAGATGGAAATTAGTCAGAACAGGTAAGTTACTCCTTTTTTACCAAACAGAAAAACAAAACTCAAATAAGTTTGAATCAAATTTATTAAATTATTGGAATACTCACAAGACAAATTGAAATTTGTGTAAGTCATAGAAAAATCATATGCAGAAAATGAAGGATTCTATTTTATTCTAGAGTTTAGTCTAGCCCTTGGCAATATTTTGAAGTAGACAAACTTGATTGCTGATATGGTCCCAGCTTCTCTTTTTTAGTTCACCATTCTCCTTGCTAAGGATTTCTACATCCTCTTAAACATCACTCACAGTGAACAAGGATCACTTGTCTAAGTGCTGTATATAGGCCTACTCTGTGACAGACATTTCTAAAACCCTCTGCCCAAAGACCATATCCTAGGACCCAATAACAAAATATCTCATCTCAGCCTAAACTAAACTAATAAAACAGTCTGCTAAGTATTAATAAGTCATACATGTATTCATTCATTCAACCAATATTTATTGAACGTGAGCTATATTGCTTATATGACAACATTAAAAATAGACAAATTTTTTGCCCTCACAAATCTTGCATTCTAGTAGATTTGAATGTTTCCAGTAGGTCTGCTATGTTAACGAATCCACTTTCTTAACAGGTTATCTAATTTTAAGATACACTCTGAAATATGTGGTACCTAAGAAATTATCCTAGTGGAAGGTTTTAATAAGAGGATGATGGGAAAAATATTGGCGATAATTGTACATTTATGTTATTTTTTATAACATACCTCAAAGATACACAGAAAATGTATACGTAATCTTAAGAATTATTACAGGTACCAAGACCAATTTACACTTCTAACTGCCCTAAGAAAAATTGCTATGCTTAACTATTCTTTTACTGAGACTTTAATTTATATTATACCATCAGTGAGACCTTAATTACAACATGTGTAAGAGGTAGAAAAAATATTCATCAGTATATTTCCTTTGTCACCATTTTTATTAGATTAGATTAAATAGTAACACAACTCTTTAAATTTATCATGACAATGTAAAAAGAAAATATTACAGCATGTAAAATTAATCTATTATGTCATTGATATTATACATAGTTACATATATATATATATATATCAAAAAATATTTTGATAGACATCTTTGACATTCTACCTAAAGAATTAGAAAGGATCATTTTAAGTCTCTTCCAAGCTTCATTTGCAAATAGAGAATACTGGGCTCAGTGAAAGAGGGAGAGAGAAAGAGAGAGAGAGAGAGAGAGAGAGAGAGAGACAGAGAGACAGAGAGACAGAGAGAGAGAGAAAGAGAGACAGCTGCCCAGAATCCTGTGGAGAGCTGGCCAAGTCTCAAACAGAATTCAGGCTCCTGTCTGGCAGCTTATGCTCTTGCCATGAGCAAGACAGCTTTCTTTAGTTTTACAATATTACTTTTGTAGTTTTGTGGTATTATTTTTGTCTCTCAAAGTGGTTGTTTTCTAGTAGCTGTTTTCAGGAATTAAAATATAGGTCAAAATTTAGCCCTGGACTGGTAAGAAATCCTGTGTAAAATCTCTTTTCCATTCTTTGCTAAATTAGCCCCCATGGAAGTCTCAAATCTGAAAGTCACAAATGATGGCAGTTTGACCTCTCTAAAAGTCAAATGGCAAAAACCTCCTGGAAATATAGATAACTACAACATTACCCTGTCTCATCAAGGAATCATCAAAGAATCCAGAGTATTAGCACCTCAGGTTACTGAAACTCACTTTAAAGACTTAGTCTCTGGACGACTTTATCAAGTAGTTATCAACTGTATCTCTGGTGAACTATCAGCTCAGAAGACTGCAGTAGGCAGAACAGGTAAGTCTTGTGCTCCAGAATATTCTCTGACCTGTCTTAGAATAGGATAAAATAACATAAAAGAAAAACTCCTTGAGAAGTTGTCCATTTGACAGACTGTCTGTGGGCCAGGACACAATATACAACAGTAAATGAAACAGAGGCTTAATTGAATTCATTTAAGTTATTTAATCAAATACACATGGATTTCTGAATCATCTACATACTTCCTCTGCCCCAATGTCACATGATTTAAGTAGCATAATACATGAAAATTGATACTAATAAAGAACATTTCTGATCTAGTCTCATAATGAAAACCAGTCAACCACTAGTTTTTCTATAAATCATTTCATTAATTTATGTCATCAAATACTTATCCACTGTCTTGTAAGAATCAATTACTATATTACGAGCTTTGGATATTAAAATGGGTAAGACATGCCATTATGTATAAGGCAACATAAGGTTTATGCTTTTGTAATCCACAAACGAGCCCCCTAGAGCCCCCAACCTCAAGTCCAAAAATGGGGCAAGACATGTTTTTTCAAAAAGCAGCGCTGATTTATTTTATTCCTGGGCCCAGCAACACAATGCAGTTGGAGTTTGCAAAAGCTGTGTGTCTCCCTCAAAACTTATCAGACTTTTTATAGAAAGCACAATTTACAAAGTAAGGGGTTCTGGGCATGGATCAGGAAATCTCCTAAGGAATGAGGAAGACCTTTGTTTCCCTTTGCAGAGGACAGAGAAGTCTATTGGAAATTAACAATCCTTTGTCAACTCATTCCAGCACTCAATTTTAGACATCTGTTATTTGCAGGGGGCAGCAATGGTTAACATATCAATTAGGTCAGGTTCCCAGGGATTTATAATTCTTTACAGAGGGGAGCACTCATTAACATATCAATTACGTCACCCAGAAAAAAAATGCATACAGAACAGTACGGTGCTACTGGTTACAGGTACTTTGATCATATAATTTAGGCATAACACAAACATAACAAAGCATTTTTTGCTAGTGTACAGCATATGTGACCTACTCCTTATGGCTAAACTGGCTGGTAACTTGTTTGTATTGCCCTAAACTGAGTAGTTTTTATGTATTCAAAGAGTTGTAAAGAAAAAACAAAACAAAAAAACACCAAAAAATATATGAAATACAGATCATATGTGGCCTGCAAAATCTGAAATATTTACCATTTGGCCCTTACAGAAAAAAATGTGCAGACTTTTGCTTAAATTAAGTTACAATTACAATCTTACAGATGTAGAGTACACAGAAAAAAAAATCTTAAAAATAATGCCTCCTAATATTGGTAGTGTTATTGATATTTCTGTCAGACACTGACTATATACTTTATACCCATCATTTCATTTATTTCTCATGATAAAACTATGAGAAATACTCTTGTGATGGCCATTTTACAGATAATTCAAAAGGATCAAATACCTTGTTTTTAACTATCTATTAAGTACATGCTAGATTTATAATTTAAGCCAAGCTATTTGATTTCAGACTCTAATCTCTGTGTATTAGGGATCTTAGGTAAGAGCTTTATGGTCAAAAGGAAAGAGAGTTAAGTTCTTCTTCCAATGAAAATTTGGAGGAAATGGACTTACTGGACTTAAAGTGATACCTAAAAGTGTTTACTTTTTTTTTTTTAAACTGGGAATGGAACTCAGGACCTTACACTTGCCAGGCAAGTACATATGTCACTGAGCTATATCCCTGGACCTAAAAGTTTATTTCTTGACAATTGAAGGTAGGGAGGAGGGAAGAGTATTTGAAGTGGAAAGAATAAAATAAGCAAAGATGCAGGGACGGAGTCCAGCAGCCCTACAGGTCTACAGAACATACAAGTGAAAGCCAACATTGGAGGCACTAAGGAAGGAGGGAGAGCTTCAAGGGGTGGTCAGAGGCGAGAGTGGAAGGACGTGTGGTCTGAACTTGAAAAGCCACAAACGCACGTGAAGGATTTGTTTTATTCTGTAGCTTTTTAAGGAGAATTTGAATGTTTGTAAGCAAAAGAATAATACATCCAGAGCTGCAATGCAAGAAGAATGTTCATTTTAGTTGAAAAAGAGAGAATGTTTCAAGACCACAACATCCAAATCTCTTCCAAAGGATGCCACTAGAAGCAACATCAGTATTGCCCTAAGGCAGATGTGCAATTTATAAAAAACATTTGTGTCACCAGATTGTTAACAATGGTACAGAAGAGTGTGTACCAGTTCTATTGCTAAAATGATTTTAGCATACATGCTTGAGTGTCAAAGTCTCCAAAATGAAAGAGAGCTACTCATCCTCCATAGCCACCAGGAGGGAATAGAAATGTTTCGAATTGTAAATGTTGTGTCTCCTATTTACTGTTACCCAAGAAAACTGAGTATTCTTACATTTGGTTTTTATTACTTTCTTGATATTGATTTCACTGTTCAGTTCCAGACAAAGTCAGGAAGCTTGAGGCAAAAAACAATGGTGGGATGAACTCCCTCGTAGTGAGCTGGTCTCCCCCTGCTGGAGACTGGGAGCAGTATCGCATCGTGCTCCTCAATGGTTCTTCACCACTGCTCAACACCACTGTGGGAAAGGAGAAAACGCGTTACCTCGTGGAAGATGTGGGGTTCATACCGGGAAGACAGTATGAAATAGAAGTCACTGTTGAGAGTGGAAATCTGAAGAATGCTGAGCGTTGCCAAGGAAGAACAGGTAAGCAATTACCAAGGTATTGATGAGCGATGGCACTATACTTTGTTCCTTCTCCTTTTAACCCAGCTAACCACCAATGTCGTACTCTACTGCTCCTTGAATTTGAAGTATTACAGATTTTCAGGATAACACAGGGCTTCTAATATTTATTACTGTTAAATTAGAGCATCAGAGTCCCTTAGACTCATCATTCATAAAAGAATGATATTCTCAATGCCAAAAGAATAAGTATACTACCTGAGAATAAGGACCAATCCTGTCTCCAGAAGAATCTTTGCTGGTGATCTAATGTGAGCATCTCAGGTGCCAAGGAATGGTGATGAAAGTGGATAGGAATCTCCCTATATTAGGGAAAGGGAACACAAGGGCACGAAAATATGGGTCTTGGTATTCTTGCTGTCACCATTCATTGCAGTAACTCTTGAGTAACTCTCCTGAGCCTGCTTTCTCAACTTTCAAATAAGAGACTCCCAAGTTCAATAATACTATGGTAATCCATGCAATCTGAAATGTTCAGGAGAAATTCATATATCTTGTCTCTTAGTCTTGCCTAATAATAAGGAAATGACTACATTCATTCAATATTCTTATTAGGAAAATATCAAATAAAATGATCAAGACACCCCTTTAGCTTACCAATTGTAATTATTACAGATTTTTCAATAATCTCTACATCTTCTAAATTTTTGTATCTATTGGAGAGTGATCAAATAGCTATATATATTTAAAGCTCCTTTTAGTATTCATAGAACAGGCATCGTTGTCTGCCACATTTTTTCATTCACTTCAAATGATTTGGAAATGTAAGATCTAGGCACAGTGGGCAGCTCCTTGTGTTGGTGTGATTCTTTGAACTTTTCTTAAGCTTCATTTGCAAATGAGGAATAAAGTGACTTGAAGTAACCCTTAGTGTAAATAGTTATTTCTGGAAATTGGAGAAAAAGGATTCAGAGTTCCACTAGGATAGAATTATAGAAAATTCCTTTGATGCAGAAATCACAAGATAATTTTACACACTTGATTCTTTCATCGTTGGGTTTTCCTGTCGGTTTGTGGCATCATGCTGTTACAAATATCTCCTGGAAATTGTAGCATTAAAATCTTTTAAAGAAGTAATAGCGGTTTTGATCCTTTTGATAAGAGATGTTCTTAACCAGTTGCTATTATTACATAACAGTCACCTCTCTCTTTTATAACAAAATAGCATTCCCTCCTCAGAAGTAAAGAAAAGAAGCACTTGGTCTTTCCGAGTTATGGGGGTTAACAAATACACTTCACTCCACCCAAACACTCAAATGTAGACTTTTCTTTATGGTGTTGACAGGATTGTGGTAAATATTTTTATATTACAGAATACACAAGACAAGATAAACTCTAATAAGGTGATATGTGATTAAAACTAAATTATTTTACAGCAAGGTATTTTCCAACAGTATTCTTTTCCATCCTTACTTCTGATTATGTTCATAAATCAAGTTTCTTATAATAAAACCACCTTCCTCTTAATATTCATAAGCATTTAAAAAAGAAATGGTGACCTAGAACACTCCTGAGAATGGAAGAGAAAAGCTCTCTGAAGATACTCTCAGAGTGTGTTCAAGGCAATCAATACCCAAGTCTCCACTGCTTTTTCCTCAGTTCCCCTGGCTGTCCTCCACCTTCGGGTCAAACACGCCAATGAAAGCTCACTGGGCATCATGTGGCAGACGCCTGTGGCACAGTGGGAGAAGTACATCATTTCTCTCGCTGACAGGGCTCTCTTACTCATTCACAAGTCCCTCCCCAAAGACGCCAAGGAATTCACTTTCACTGACCTGATACCTGGACGAAAATACACAGCTACAGTCACCAGCATCAGTGGAGACCTGAAAAATTCCTCTTCAGTAAATGGAAGAACAGGTAATAGTCTTTATAAATTTTAGATTTTATAGTGGTCTATCTGCTGAATTACTTAACGTGCAGTTGCAGGCGTTTATAACATGCATATTATGCATTGTTTTCTGTTTACCAAGTTCAGCTCTTACGGTCATTAATTCCTTCATTTTACCTTGCTTGGATTTGTTGTGCTAAAGTTGAGTGCAGAATAAGTCCCCCAGGAGTTTTGTCCCAAAAGAGAGCAGAGAAATAGAACAACATAGAGAAGAGGGAAAATGGTGAACAGGAGGATCATTGTTTTTAAAGCACGGAAGTCATTGCATGTTTTATGCTGACGGGAATGATCTAGAAGAGAGACAAGTGAGGATGATGTGAAGAGAGGGGGAGTTCCTCTGGGGCTCTGCACGTAGCGAGTGGTATTGGGGTTTAGAGCACATGCCACTGGCTCTGGAAAGGAGCATGTTGCTTGGGGAAGAAAGTATTTGAGTGCAGGTACCAGTGTGGATAGATGTATTCTAGAGCTATTGTTCAACAGTTACTCTCATTTTCTCAATGAAATAGGTAACAATGCTCTTTTCCAATTTACATGCTATTAGTAACCTGTATTTCCCTCTCCTTCTTTGAACTGCACAAAAATAGTGATTGATTTTTTTTACAGAGTATAATAATTGTTTTAGACTCTTTGATACCAGTTTACCACTTTCCCTCTCATACTGCCTTTCTGTATTTTAGGAGTTACAGTTGATATTATTTTCCTTCATCCTGAAAGATATTCTTCAAATGTCTTTATTGGGAGTTCTTAGGGACAAACTCTTTCCACTTTGGCTTTCCTGAGCAGGTTTTTATATAGCGTTCTGTCTTGAAGAGTATTTTCTAATGTTTTGATGTAACACTGAAAGTTATTTTCTCTCAGTGAGTTGAAGCTGTTGTTTAGTTTTATTGTTGTTGTTACTGCTGCTGTTAATGTTGTTGTTTTTTGAGACAGGGTCTCACTACATATTTCAGGCTAGGCTTGAGCTTGCTTGGTAGCGCAGGCTGGGCTCAAACTCACAACTCACCCTGCCTCATCCTTCTGAGGACTGGGGTTACCTGTGTGCACCGCCACACTGTTGCTACTGAGTAGTCAGTTGTCAGCCTAATTCCTATTTTACTACAAGACATCTGCCTGTTTAATATGACTGTTTTTAAGGTCTACTCTCTACCTTTGATGTTCTTCTGTTTCACAATAGTGATCTACATATACAAATATTTTTGTTTATCCTACTGCTTTCAGATTAGTGTCATTCCTCAATCCTGGCAGACCTGAGTTACTGTCTCCAATATTGTCATTTGTCTCTCTTCTGTTCCTTGTTATCCTTTCTACTACTCCAGAAAATGTATGCGTGCACACACAGCCACACACAAATACACACACTTCAAGTTTCCATGTATTTGCTCTTTGGGCTGCAGATAACCTTCTCAGCTCCTTGCTTCAGCTCAGTAATTCTTTCTATGACTTTGTCTAATCTACTGTTAAATCTGCCCATTGAGTTGTAAATTTTAATTGCTATGCTTCACACTTTTAAATATCCTCTTTGGTTCTTTTCCAGATCTAGTAAAAGTTGTGATCTTTTGCTCTTTAGTTGTATTTTCATGCTTCTTTATTATCATTGCAAATTAAAATATTTGTTTTACTTTCTGTCTGATCCTTATGCTGTCTGAAATCTTCAAGAGCTAAGTCTTACATTTGATTCTGCTGTTGTTTGCTCATGGTATTTTATTCCCTAGACATTTGTGATTTTTTTTTACTACAAACTCATATTCTTTGGAATTTTATTCTATGAAAATTCTTTGAGGCCTTATTTGAAGGTGTATTTCAAAAGTTTTTTTTTTCTTTTTTACTTGATTCTTTCAAGTGTATAGGACCACTATCAACCAAGATCTACTTTAATATACTTTTTAATATAAGTTATCAACTTGAGGTTTTTTGAACAGTAGATTTTATCAATCCAAATTGTAAATACCTTGAAGCTGTTTTAAAATTATGAATTCAAAAAAAAAAAAAAAAAAAAATTTTTCTCCACTGAGTACCAAGACTTGGGTGATATGAGGAATAGAAATGAAATATTATTTCACTTACACTTGGAATGTAATTTTTTTTTTTTTTGTACTGGGGATCGAACTCACAACCTCATGCTTGCCAGGCAGGAGCTTATGCTGCTGAGCTAAATTCCCAGCCCTGGAATGTAATCTTTCAGGATCCTCTGTTATGCAATCACGTATAAGCTTCTTCATCCTAAGATGGTCCTACATTTTATGTCCCTTTTCTGAGATCCTGAAATACTATTAAGTCAAAACTTACATTTATGTTTGAAAGCATCCCTAACGCAAATTTGCTTCAGTGATCCAGTTACCTCCATTTCACTGTGTAGCCTCTGAGAACTGCTGAGCTCTAACAGCAGTTACTTTTATTTATTTATTTATTTTTATTTATTTATTTATTTATCATCACTTTTATTTATTTGTGTACATTTATGTGTGGGGAGGGAGGCACTAAGAATGGAACCCAGAGGAGCTTTACCACTGAACTACATCCCCAGTCCTTTTCATTTCTTATTTTAAAGCAGGGTCTCAAGAAATTGCTTATGGTAGCCTTGAACTTGTGATCTTCCTGCTCCAGCCTTCTAAATAGTTGGGATGACAGGCTTGTGTCACCAAATCCAACTAATTATTATATTTAACCCAACATGTGTGTTGTGTTTGTCAGGGAAGTTTTTATGGTCCTAGCTCATCACACTGCCAAAAATGAGGGACAGGTCATTGTTTTAGACCTATGATTATTTTTATTATCCCCACTACCCTATATCTGGGTCACATAGTATGTGTATGTTCAACTTTTAATTTAAGACACTGTCAGTGTTTCCTATGCTGGTTTTACAGTTTTATTTTTGTATTAATTTATGTATTCATTTTTTTTGAAATGCTGCCCAGACTAGTCTCAAACTTCTGGGTTCAAATCTCTATTAACAAAGAATGAGATTTCCAGTTTGTCCACATCTTCAGCAGCACTTGGTGTTGTCAGTTTGTTTTAAAATTAAGCAGTTCCTATAGGTTGTGGCAATATCTTTCGCTGATGTCTAGTGGATTTCAGAATGCTTTTATATACTTATTTGCCATTTGTTTATCTTGTTTGGGAAAGTTTCTTTTCAAGTATTTTAGCCATTTTCCTATAGATTTTTTTTAATCATTGAGTTTTGAGAGTTTTTTATGTTAGACACAGGACTTCTGTCAAAAACATGAGTTAAAAATATTTCCTTCCAATCTGTGGATTTTTTTTTTTTGTCTTACTAGTATATTTTGTTACATAGAAGTTCTTTCATAGGTCACACTTTTGGCATCATACCTAAAAAGAAAATCTGTGTCTAACAGAGATAGGTCACATGGCTTTGAATTCTCATGAAGGTAAGGGTCCAAAAAAGTCTTATTAAATAAATCTTCAAAAATAGCCACCTTTTACAAGATACTTAACATAGTTATACTACTAATTTCTCCTAGTTCATTGAAAAGAAAGGTTTGTGCTAATAAATGCCTCTATATTGTACTCTGAGTAACTAATTTAAAGATAACAGTACACAATATATTAACCATTGTTACTGTCCTATTATCTTGTATTGAAATTTTGTGGGGGTTTTTTCTCTTTCAAATAAAATTTTAAAATTAGTTGCTTTAATATTTCAAGTTTAAAATAAAGGCTAATAAGTATACATCGCCTCATCTGTGAATCCTAAATAATTTTGATTTACCATATAAACAGCTTTTTCAAAGTTCTACTGTCTCAGTACAGGAGTAGTTCTCCATATGCCACAAGAAATAGAGCTGAATTTATAGCTAAAACAACTAATACTTTTTTTAAGAATTTTTCAAGTTGTTTCCATTCTTGACCCGTATTTTTTACACTTTCTTAAGGTGACTTTGTTTTGCCTTCTGTCTACTGTGTTTTAGTGCCTGCTCAAGTGACCGATTTGCATGTGACCAGCCAAGGGATGACCAGTAGCCTGTTTGCCAACTGGACAAAGGCACAGGGAGACATAGAATTCTACCAAGTCTTATTGATCCATGAAAATGTGGTCATCAAAAATGAAAGCGTCTCCAGTGAGACTAATAGATACAGCTTCCATGCCCTGAAATCGGGCAGCCTCTACTCCGTGGTGGTGACAACAGTGAGTGGAGGGATCTCTTCCCGCCAAGTGGTAGTGGAGGGAAGAACAGGTAAGAAGTGGAGACTTAAGTATCTGTAACTTACGGGAAGCTGAGTATATGGGACTCTCTCACCCCAAGCAGAATTTTTAAAGCATGCTGAAAACAGACCTATCTCTTTTCCTCCTAAAACCCAACTTTCAATACAATCCAGCTACACATGGCATCGAAACTGACCAGTTAAGAATGGGAGAGAACACCTGAATTTTCCAAACTCTGCAACAAATATTGATGCCCGAACTAGTCCTCTCATTTAGTTAATTTCTTTTGAAAGGGTTATGTCCCAATTAAGGTAAAATAAAAATCAAATCTTCCATTATCTTCATATTATTGGTTTCAAGACCTAGAAAAGACATGATCTCTAATTTATATGGTCAAAAGTTGACATATACAGAAAAAAATCTATTTCCCCAGGCTGGTCCCAAACTCCGGGGATCAAGTAATCCTACTGCCTCATCCTCCCCAGTAAGTAGGGCTACAGGGATATGCCACTGTGTCTTTCTAAAAGGGACATGTATTTTTAATAAGCAATATTAAACAAATGTTTAATACTATATACCACCTAAACAATCTTCCTGACTTAAAGTGTTCCCCATTAAAAGATGGCTAAGTAGAGAAATAAGTATCAGTATAGTCGTGTATCAGAGAGCTTTGACACCAAAAGAGAAAATGTAATTTTCTACATGATGCAAAGAAAGTACATAAATCTAAACATAATAACATATTATTTCATATAATGCACAAAATTTATGTTATGGTTTCTTAAGAAAAATTACATAAACCAAATAGAAACTTTGATAGTTATTGATGAATGTTTAATCAAATCAATGACCTTGTTACTTAATTTTATATGATTATCATAAATGATATTTCAGGCTCTGTCTCAATGAGCATCAGTCGCAGGCACAATAGATGATAGAGAGATAGATAGAATCATTTTGGCACCATCTTTTGGTATAGCACAGTTGAGGGTATGGGGCTAGAAGCCTTAGTTTGGAAATGAGAACAGGTAAGGAAAAGTATTGAAAAAGAATTGTATCCATTTTCCAGTGAGTCTCAGCTGTAGTAGTTAAGTTGAATTGATTTACTTACTTTCATAGCTTTGCAATTTGAGTGTTCCTGATTGAATAATTCCACTGGTCTATTCTTTTCCAAGTCAAAAGTCAGGAATCCAGGCACCTAGCATCTCACCCTCCCTCAGGATTCTCAGAGCTCTCCTCGTTTCTGGAAGAACAGAAATGGAGATCAGGGATGGTATAGACTACTAGGCTGGAAGCACACACCTCTCTACTATGCACATTCCACTAGCCATAGCTCACTAACACGGCCACAGTTAATACACCTATCTGCAGTGAAGGCTCAGAAATACAGTCTAATCACATGTCAAGAGGAAAAAGAAGTGTTTTGTGAACAATGAGTCATGTGCTACACATAGGCTAAGTCCCATTTTACAATATCATGAGGGACCTGAGGATGTAACACAGAAGCAGAGCACTTGCCTCACATACATGAGGCCTTGGGTTGCATTCGCAAAACTGCCAAAACAAATCTAAGAAAATGCCACAATAGCTAACCAACTTACTATGATATACTAAAGTAATATAGTGAAATAAGTGTGTATTTGAAATAAATGGGATTTATAATTATTTTACCTATATTTTAAGAGGCATTAATATTTAACTCAAATTATATGGTAGAAGCATCAAAAAAGGGAAAGTGTCCAGGCATGGTGGCACACACCTGTGATCCCAGCACTCAGGAGGCTGAAGCAGGGAGATCACTGCAAGTCTGAGACCAGCCTAGGCTCAAAGTGAGCTCAAGGCCAGCCTGAACTGCATAGGAGGACCCTGTCTCAAAAAGACAAAAGGGGGTGGATTTGAAGAATGATCAAAAAGTTGTCAGGAAAGCACAAAATATGAATAAATATAAGCACACATTATTATACCCAAGCATTATGGGAAAATGGAATGCTACTACAAATGCATAATAACTAGGGATTTCAAAAAGCATCTAGTTAAGGTTATAGCTAAAGCTTTGGTAATCTTTGCCACTTTTTTGTTTGTGGTTTTGTTGTTGTTGGTGGTGGTTTGTTCTGATATCAGGGATAGAAATCATGACCTCACACTTGCCAGGCAGGTGCTTAAGCCATTGAGCTAAACCACCTGCCTGCCACTTTTTGAAATACAAAAATATTGGTCAACATAGAAAATTTTTTAAAAGTGTTTTTTATATTTCACGTATTTCCAGAGTTGAAACGTTTAAATCCTCCTAGCCTAGATAAGATGGTAAATATTTAAAACTAAATATATATGTTCACTAAATCTAACTTTAATATGAAAAATGCTCATTCTAGAGAAAAAAACGCAGATTTTGTGTATATTTTTCTGAAACATGTAAGCTATATTTTTGACAAAACTTCTACTAATTGTATCTTTTCTAATAAAATATTGGTAGTTACAAATATTTCCAACAGTTTTACAAAACAAAGGAAACTATTTTAAGACTAATAATGGAATGTATAGATATTGGGGAAAAGGAAGGAAGGAAGGATATAAATATACCAACACACAAATTTTATGGATAAAAGTTTAACTTTATATCTAGGAAATGACCATAAAATATAGAAGCATTAGCTGAATTGCTGAATAGGGTGCTGTTGGTAACTTTTGGTGTAAGACAAGACTTTGGGGCTTAACTCACAAAATCAAATCATATGAAGATTAGAAGGATTCTCCGAAGTGATACAACCAAATCCTGTCCTTTATGTGTAACGAACTAATATTAGCAACTGTATAAAAATAATCAGCTAAAGTTAGCTGATGGTGAAACCAATAATGCATATTCAAAATTTCATATTCTGAAAGATGTCATTCTTTGTTTGCTAGTGGCAGTATTTATTAGACACTTATCTCCAATACATAGTGCAACTTTCATTCAACACAACAATTTGCTAACTTGCCGTCTGTATATTTTTTAGCCAGGGAGCTCCTAAAAAGCATGCAAGCTTTTCCCATTTTTTGTACAGCTGACAAGTAGAAGGTTCTCAGTAAGTGCCTGTGTGTTAATCCCCAAGAAACGTAAGCAAATAATTAGGCTTGCCATCAGAAAGCCCATTATCTCCAGAATAGCTACCTCTGCCCCTTTGATCCAGATTCCAAACTGTGCCCAGGATAGGCTCTTTTAAAAGGCTTATTTCTTGCCACTAGAGGGCAGGAAATGCTTTGCAAAGGGAAAGCAATTCAACTAGTTTTGTTAGTTGTTTTGTTACTTCCCCAGGAGTGAATAACCTCATTAAGTGAAGAGCAAAGATATCCCAAAATCTAAGATCTTTAGGAAAGCTATTTCATTTCTCACTTTTCCCCTTAAACATCTTGGCTTTGTTGTTGAGTTTGGTTCAAGTTGATTCATTTGGATTCTTAAGATGTTTGTTTCCTTTCTCAGGGAACCTCTGAATTCATTCAAATAAAAATGCTCCCACTTAAATATTTCACACAAAGCAAATCCTAAAGATGTAGTGATAGGGTCCTCATATTTATGAGGCGCCCAAAAGGCCTCCTTTCATTTTTGTTTTGCATATCCTCCTGATGTAAGAGTACTCAGCTTCCAGAAGCTAATAAGACATTCTCACTCTTCCTTGACCTCTTAGGTAATCAGAGCACATCTCCTTAGTCCATAGTTTTTGTTGAACACAATATATGACTCAGACTTTGACTGTGTTTTTCTTTTTATATCTTCTCCTCTTTTAAAACCATAGTCCCTTCTAGTGTCAGTGGAGTGATGGTGAACAATTTAGGCCGAAATGACTACCTCAGCGTTTCCTGGCTGCCGGCACCTGGTGATGTGGATAACTATGTGGTGACACTCTCTCACGATGACAAGGTGGTTCAGTCCCTTGTGATTGCCAAATCTGTCAGTGAATGTTCCTTTAGCTCCCTCACCCCAGGCCGCCTTTACAACGTGACCATAACGACCAAGAGTGGCAAGTATGAAAATCATTCCTTCGGCCAAGAGCGAACAGGTGAGCATGCGTAACGGTGCAGAGATCCATAAGAACTAACTAGACACATGGCTCAGGGCATCACAGAGATGCACTAGTCCCGTGACAATAGCACAAAAGGCAGATGAGATCACAAAACTGTGAAGCCTTTGTATTGTGAAACTCCTTAGGTAACTGGATATTACCTTTCCAGGAAGATTTGCACAGGTTTTATGGCTAGAATTCATATTATATTCAAACAATGTTGCAAGTATTGCTGTTTAGGGAGTAGTTTCTAGTAACTGGCTTTACAGACAGTAACTAACCCTATGAATGCCTCGGTGAAGTAGTTATTATGATTTCCATTTTATATATTAGGAAGGGTCAAGGAAGTTAAGTAACTTGCCCAACTGTCTACCATGTTAAACAGCCTGCAAGTTCCAAATCCTGAGTTTAAATCGTTTTCTGATTGACTCAAGAGCCTACAAATGTTTCTGTGCTAAAATCTTCCCTGAAATGTGTGTTGGTCAAGACTACTATTTATCTTTTTTCACATAAGGTGAAACTGTGAACCCTTACAGTTCTGAGACTAGGGAGCAAAACTCTTAGCAAATGAATGCCGGGTCTTTGATGTGCTAGAAAGAACTAAATATAGATAGCTGCCATGTCCCAATGTATCTATGCTTTATGGGGTTGACTTGAAGGTTTTCTGCTTAAGGTTAACCTCAATGTTTTATCAAGTCTTTTTACTGGGCTCTGCATTGACTTTTTTGCCTTTAAAAATGTCCTTTTTCCATAAGGATCCGGGACAATTGACATTATCCTATTACCTAACATAGAATCTGGGGCTTAGCAGGCACTCAGCAAGTATTTGCTGAATGAATAACCAAAGGTCAGGTCAGGGTTCTCACTTGGTGGCCGTTGGGTGGGCTTTTGACATGCAGTAACTCCTGAAGTTATACGCAGTGTTAATGAGGATAAGGAATGTTTGTGCATTTCTTTGGAGAAGTCTAGACTTTATAGTTTCTGAGCACACTCTCCAAAGTGTAGAAAGTTTGCCTTATTTTATTACATAATGCCAACACTGAAAAGCGTAGCAGCCTTGATGTAAAGGCTCAGCCATTACATCATCTACACCAGAAAGCACTTGTTAGGGATGCAGAGATTATTCCTACTTTCCTACAATTTAAGGTCTGATTTTACTGCTGATCACAATAATGACTTAAATCTGCAAATCTGATTTCCACTTACACAGCAGTCTGAAGTCAATGGCGTCAATGTATTGTATTGATCAACTTGGAGCCTGAAAATCACTAGAAATTAAAGGCTGCGTTACCCAATTGGTAGCCCTGTGTTTCCTAACAGCATCAATTCAGGAATGTTCCCTATTCATATGTCTTCAATATTGCAAGGTTCTTTTGCTAAGGTTGTTTCCAAGTGTAAGGAAAGAAATCCATTCAAAGCAACCTTTTGTTCTACCAGCACGAACTTAGATTTGGTGCATGATACATGGGAACCAATGATTTTAACTGGAGAGTCATGTCTGAGTTGCTGTCTTGTTGATTTTGGCTGATTATCTTAATGTCCCTTTCCTTTTCTAATGTTCTTCTTCTAAATTTTGGGTGAAAATGCCAATATTTCTAGTTCTGTATCATGTCATCTGTTCGTGCTGCAAGGCAGTTCTCACAAATTACTGCTGTTCCACCTGGAGAGCTCTTTAGTGACCTGATATGATTCAGTCTAGTTTTACTCCCTCTAATAATTGTTGTACCTACAGTAAATTGCCTGAATCGTTGACATTTCTTAGCCCATACACACAATGTCACTTCATAATTTCCTCTTAATTCTGCAGTGTCTAACTTCTAGCAACACTGTAATTGGTTTCAGGCAAATATTTTGCCGAAAGCTTATCTGTCTTTGCCCCAAGCCTGTGGTGAGCTACATTATAACATGCAAATCAGTCAGTAACTAGAATCCAACAAAAGTTGTTATTACAATTTGTAAGTGTAGAAAGAATTATAATGTAGTAAGATACCCAAATACTGAAATTTTTGAATCATTTCATGATTTGGGGGCAAGTAGAAGATATGAACACAAGTTCGTAAGTGGTCAGAACAGAAATCATTTAATGTGTACTAGACACATACAGAGGTTATACAGATCTGTGTTAATATTAGGACAGTAGTATGCACCCTAGATCTGAGATCATGCCTCTTTTTAGCACCTTATTAATATTTATAATATCTCATTATACCCAAAGAGAAATGAATCTGTGATCTGATGAATCAAATTTGGTACTAAATGAACTATCAGAATAGGTTTAACATCATTTTTTAAATATAGAATTGTCTTATTTTACAGTGTTCCTAGTAGTACGAATTTACCTATTTATTTATTGAGGAGAAAAGCATAGGTACACAGAACTGTTTGTTAGATATTTATTAGAAGAAGCCTCAGATACCCAAAATAGCATTAATCATAATTCTTCATTCAGAAAACTATATATCAGTTTTTAGTTTTATTTTTAAGTCATCTAGTTAGTAATTTTTTATAATTCAAAATGTACGTAAGGAATCACTACCGGAAAAGAAAGCTAGGATCTTGACAATAATCTGCATAAAATTACATTGTTCCCACCTCACTAAGTCACCCACGGTCACCAACATCTCAACTCATGTTCATCCCCCTTTGCCTCCGTCTTGCATAGTCTGATTGCCACTCTGTACAGGCCTGAAACTATAGAGTTTTAATTTTATAGTTGCTTTAGCAAATAAAAATTATTTTTATTCAATATGTAATCTTTTGAGCTTTCTTTAGATTTAGATTTTTCAGTTGTTATATTGATTCAAGTTCAATCATATTTTTCTGTTTTGATGTTAAGGGCAAGAAATCTATACTTTGATTTTGAATTAATAAGAAATTAATTAAGACTATTACATAATATTCACTATTACATAATATTGTATTAATATAAAATTAATTACATTGTTATGTAATGTAACATACATTAGTCAATGGAAAGGCTCCAATGGAGAGGCATCCTCTGCTATACTTACTTTTACCAGACCTTAAATTTTTAATTTTCAGATAAATACAAGTGGTATCATTGTGGTCTTGAATGTCTTTCCAGTGTTTTCCAGTGTAAATAATTATGTATTGATTAGCCTTACATGTTTTCTTCTGTTTTTACTTTGGGTATTTATACTTTTTTGGTAGCTTTTTAATATCATCTTGAGTCACCAAAATACATTGCAGTTATTAATATTTTCACCTTATTCATGTTAATCATCAATTATCTTGTCTAATGCTCCATCTTATATGTGTCATATTGTATAAGCAAACAATAGGCTGTGGATACATCCCTCAGGTTCTGTTAAAAGTTCTGCTTAATCAATTCAAACAGTGTGATAATATTTTCCCTCCAGAAATTTGTAATTTGAAGTAAAAGATTTTTCTTTAAAATTACACATTAAAAATCTAGTTATTTTCTCCTGTTGTCCTCCATTGTCATCTGTGATCTGTTGCTCACTCAGAATCACTAAATCTGTCACTGTTCTCTATTCTCTTTTTCAGTTCCTAACAAAGTCCAGGGAGTCAGTGTCAGCAACTCAGCCAGGAGTGACTACTTGAAGGTGTCCTGGGTGCATGCCACAGGTGACTTCGATCACTATGAAGTCACCATTAAAAACAAAAACAACTTCATTCAAACCAAAAGCATTCCAAAGTTAGAGACCGAGTGTGTATTCGTTCAGCTTGTCCCTGGACGTCTGTACAGCATCACTGTTAGTACAAAAAGTGGACAATATGAAGCCAGTGAACAAGGAAATGGGAGGACAAGTAAGTGGCATGATTGCAAAGTGACTAAACGTGAAGTCACTGAGTAACTAATTTATCTCAACCTTGAATATTTTTTACTTACTGATTAGCGAATTACACTGTCAGGCATATCATTACAGAGTATTTATTGGTAAGTAAAGGCAAGCATGACGAGGGAGAAAGAAGGTCAAATATTTCAGTTTTCTTCCCTGCCTTCCTGTATTGTGGCATTAAAATTCTAAACTTGTTTTATCTTATAGTTAAGCTGTTAACACCTTTCATAATTACATTCTGTCAACATGTAGAATATAGGATTTTTGTCAGGAAAAAGCTCACAAGTTTATTTTATTTTATTTATTTATTTATTTTTGGTACCGGGAATTGAACTCACAACCTCATGTTTACCAAGCTGGCACTTATGCTGCTGAGCTAAACCCCCGGCCAAAACTCACAATTTTAATGGTTGCTTCCAATTCTTCTGGTTTAATTTTGATGAAATAGGTCATGTGTTTTGTTTGAGCAAGAGAGATGTTTGCTGGTTCCTTGCATGTGATTCATAAGTTATCATGTGCAGCTAAGCTCTGATCAGTTCCGTTTCTGAAGTGCCTTCTCGATTTTCTCCCTAGTCCCCGAGCCTGTGAAGAATCTAACACTGAAAAATAGGAGCACTGAGGACCTGCATGTGACTTGGTCACCAGCTGATGGGGACGTGGACCAGTATGAGATCCAGCTGCTCTTCAATGACATGAAAGTATTTCCTTCTTTTCACCTTGTAAATACCGCAACCGAGTTTCAGTTCACCTCCCTAACACCAGGGCGCCAGTACAAAATTCTGGTGTTGACCATCAGTGGAGATGTGCAGCAGTCAGCCTTCACTGAAGGCTTAACGGGTAATTTGAAATATTGTTCTTGAACCAGCACAGATATACTGGTGTACTGATGATGTTGGATGATCCAGGTATTTAAATAGAGATTTAAAGGAACATGTCAGGGCTGGGGATTTAGCTCGGTGGTACAAGCACCTACCTGGCAAGTGCAAGGTCATGAGTTCGATCCCCAGTACCAATAAATAAATAAATAAAGGGACATGTCAAAAGGGAGAAGGGTATCTTGATAGTGACAATGACATTGTTTAAGTGGAATAACAAAAAACCAGTATGATATGGTGGAGGCAGACAGAGTTTCAGAAACGTAGCATTGAGTTGCCACATAGCTGGTACTTGAGGGGTACACAGATTATTATATTTTAATAAGTGACTCTTTTTATATGGGTGTCACTTTGTTGAAAGTCTCTTGGGAGTGTTATTGTAATAGTATGTACCAAAATAGTTTACCGTGAGCCACAGCAAAGCACTGTAGATCTACATTCTGTTCAATCCTCAGAACTCTGTGTGAGGTTACTATATCTTTGCCGTTTTTTCTTATGAGGAAACTAAAATTGTATAGAGGTTCAAAAATGTACGTATAGTTACACAGCTAGGAAACGAGTAAACAAGACTTAGACTGAGGCGATCTACTTAGCCCCTTGCTACATTAGTGGCCTTCTTCATTTCCACTAATTGGCTTTGATTGCCCTCTCTAAATGTTCCCCCATCAACTGCAGTTTAGGCAGCAAGGTCAGAGAAAAATGGCAAACTGATACCTTTTCTTTCACATGTATTCAGTAGAAAAGCATGACAACTCACTCTCCTTCACTCTCTTCCGTCTCTCCTTCTCTTCCTTTCTCTCTGTCTCTGTCTCTCTGTCTGTCTCTCTGTCTCTATGTCTCTGTCTCTCTGTCTGTCTCTCTATCTCTCTGTCTCTGTCTCTCTGTCTGTCTCTCTCTCTCTCTTTCTCTCTCTCTTTCTCTCTCTCTCTCTCTCTCTCTCTCTCTCTCTCTCTCTCTCTCTCTCTCTCTCTCCAGTGCTTGCAAGTGTTTGGGGACCATTCTGCCACTGAGCAACTATATCCCCAGCCCTGCTTGAAAACTTTTGTTATAAATTTTTACTTCTCTAAATAATTTTATTTAAACTTGTCTCTTCTTCTTCTTTTCTTTTTCTTTTTTTTCAGTGCCTAGCGCTGTCAAAAATGTTCATATTACTCCCAAGGGAGCAACAGACAGCCTGATGGTCACCTGGACCCCTGGCAGTGGGGACGTTGACTCCTACGTGGTGTCCGCATTCAGGCAGAATCAGAAGATTGACTTTCAGACCATCCCCAAGCATGTCTCGGAGCACATGTTTCACAGACTGGAGGCTGGGGAGCAGTACCGGATTGTGATTGCCTCAGTTAGCGGGTCCCTGCAGAACCAAATAGATGGTTTTGGGAGGACAGGTGAGCGTCCACCTGGAGAAGGGCCATATGGTAGAATGCTCCATGGCTTCCTGTAATAGGCCAGTGAGTGAGTTTAACTGCGTACAAATCTGAAAGTTCAAACCTTAGCCCTCCCAAGTTGATACAGTTCTCAGCCTTTCAGGAGCCTTTCACATTTTTTTCTTAATAGCAATTTTCAAAACAAATGCAGGTAAGTGGAAAACAAATCACTTGAGTATATTTTTATGCTTGCTAAAGGATATAAATTTTTAATTTTAACAAGAAGATTTCTATAACTATATACCTTTCAAGAGTTCTTGTTTTCTCAAAATTATTTCTTAAGGAAAAGATAATATCTTGCCATCTGCTGTGCCTGTGATAAGTATCAAATGAACTGTGTCTGTTTCTTAATGCCAATGACATTATTAATATATTATTTTTAAAACAAAAAGGAAGTACCTATGAAATGCATGACATCTGGTTATACTGCAAGATAGAGATCATTGTGTCCATGTTACAGATGAGTAAAATAAGACCCCAAGCGTTTATTAAACATCACCACATTTACATGTAATAAGAACTAGAGCTATAATTTAAATCTAGGTCCATCTCGCTCAAACCCCATTCCCTAACTTCTGTAATACAATATTTCTTAGATGGCACAAACCTAAGAAGTTTAGAATTTAGTAAAGAGGATAGAGAAGTAAACAGGCAATTACTACACAAGCTTGTGATGTTATGGGAACAAAGAAAAAGAGTCAAGGAAGCATTCTGATACTTACACGGAGACCAAGAAGTCTTCCAGGTGAAATACAAGTTGACTTAATTTAGAAAAAAAGCAAAGATCTAGACATGGGAGAAAACACATACCATTTAATCTGTTAGACTAAAGAATGTAAACCATGTGTCCAAGTGAGTAGATAAGTCAAGTCATGAAGGGCCTTGTGCAACTGGCAAGGTGTTTTAGAATTACAGGGAGCCACTGAGGTGCCCTTACCATGGAATCACCGTGGGCATATGCTATGTGCGGCACAGAATTTAAAGCAGTGAGTAATGAAGTGTGAGATAGGTGAGGACTTTTGCAGTAATGTATGCAACCCTTATCATGGCCCTAATATAGAGACAGGAGAAAAGGAGAGAGGAGAGACGTTCAAAGGAAGAAAGAGTAAGGACACAGAAACTTTAAGGCTTGTATATATGGAAGGATGACAGTGACAATCGTTGTTTCTGACTTGAGCCAAAAGAAAGAAGCAAAAGATAGAAGGGCAGGGAGATGAGGAGTTCAACTTAATTCGGTTTGATTTTGTTTAAGAGTTTTTCTCAATCAATTACTTTACCATAAGTGATAGAATTTTGTTGCTTCTCTTTGTTTCTTTAAAGTTCCAGCATGTGTCCAGGGAATAAGCGCAGACAATGCATATAGCAGTCATTCCTTAGTAGTAAGTTGGCAAAAAGCCGTTGGTGTGGCAGAAAGATATGATATCCTGCTTCTGAATGAAAATGGGGTCCTTCTGAGCAACACCTCAGAGCCAGCCACCGCTAAGCAGCACAAATTTGAAGATCTAACACCAGGCAAGAAATACAAGATACAAATCCTAACTGTCAGTGGAAGTCTCTTCAGCAAGGAAGCCCAAGCTGAAGGCCGAACAGGTAATTAGTGTAACTTAACATTGTGTACCAGATATCTCCTTGTATACTGCTGTATAAAAACCATAAGGTGGGAAGGATGAAGCAGTGTTGGATGATGATATAACATATAGATCTCTTGACACATCAGGAACATCCTCCCTACTTAGCTCTTCCACATCAGCTGTCCAGCTATACAAGTTGTCACCCACCCCACTCCAACTCAGATTTTTTTTATTAAACTAGTATGGTTAATATCCTATAGATGCTATAGAAATTGCCATCAAGTTAACAGCACAAAACCACAGAAATTTACTATTAATAATATGATAAGTTAAAGTCTGAAAATAGACTAAAATCAAGGTGTCACATGTCAGCAGGACTATGCATATTGTAGAGATTTTTAGGGAAGAGTCCACTTCTTACCTTTTTCAACTTCTGGAGATGCCACTTTCCTTGGCTTTGATACCTTGTAGCTACAGCATCACTCCAACCTCAGTATCTACTGTTATGTCACTTTCCTTGCTCTCCTGCCCTGCTCTGTCATGTTTAAGGACTTCTGTGCCCGGACAGAAATTGAGCACTCTAGAGACGGCTCCATAGTTCTCTACAACTGCCTCACGCTGAGGTCAGCTGCAGCTGGGCCCTCAGTGCCACCAGGAGTAAAAGCCCACTGCTTTAGTTTTCTACTATTGTCATTCCCTGTGTCCATCTTCCCCTGAGAGCAGCCACTTGTGGCCCCTACCCTCAGCAAGGAGGAATCAACACCAATTCTCAAAGTATTCTAACAATCTAAAAAGGAAGAAATGCATCCAAATCCATTCTACAGACCAGAATTACTCTAATAATGAAATAGACAGAGATTCAACAACAACAAAAAAGAGAGAACTGTAGACCAACATCACAGATGCAAAAATTCTCAACAAAATGCTAGCAAACTCTACCAACAGCAGAGCAATAATATAATCTGTCATGATCAATTGGGATATATTTCAAGGATGCAATGGTAGTTCAACATAAACAGATCAATGACTGTAATACATCACATGAACAAAATGATGAGAAAACAAAGATTAGTTCAACAAGTGTAGAAAAAATATAATTTATCATCCTTTCAAGATAAAAATTCTGAACAAATTTGTATAACAAGAACATTTTTCAATATAATCAAGACTTTCTGTAACTTTCTGTAACTTAACAAACATCATACTTACTAGTGAAATTTTTCCTCCATGATCTGGAAAAAGCAAGAAGATATCTACCCTCACCACTCTTATTCCAACAAGTACTAGAAGTCTTAGCCAGAACAATTAAGCAAGAGGAAAAAAATGAAAGACATACAAATAAAAAAGAGAGGAACTCAGTTATTCATGTTTGTGGATGATATGATTCTATCTATAGAAAAACGAAGACTCCACCAAGACTATTAGAACTGATAAATTCAGTAAAGTTGCAGGATGTAAAATCAATATACAATAATTAGTAATCAAAGAAAGAAATCATGAATGGAATCCCATTCATAGTAGCTACAAAGAAAATAAAGTACCTAGAAGTAAATTCAGCCAAGGAAGTGAAAGACCTCCATAATGAAAGTTATGAAATTCTGATGAAAAAAATTGAAGAAGATACACAAAAAAATGGAAAATTCTCCCATGTTCATGGATTGAAAAAATAACATTAAAGGGATTGCACTACCGAAAACAATTTATAGATTCAATGCAATCCCCACCAAAATATCAATGACATTCTTCACAAAACTGAAAAAAAATTCCTAAAGTTCATATAGAAGGTAAAAGCCATAGACAAAGCAGTCTTAAACAAAAAGAACAAAGTTGGAAGTGTCACATTCTTTGACTTCAAAATATACTACAAAACTATAGTATTCAAGACAGCATAAATAGACACATACACCAATGAATACATCAGAGAACTCAGAAATAATCTCACATGTTTGCAGCAAATTGATTTTCAGCAAAGGTACCAAAGCATGCATTGGAGAAAGGAACAAGTCTGTAATGACTGGTGCTCAGAAAACTGGATATGCAAAGCAAAAAATTGAAATTTGACCCCTATCTCTGTCCCTACTTAAAAATAAACTCAAAGTGGATCAAATCTCTAAACGTAAGACCTGAAACTATGAAACAGCTAATAGAAGAAAAGCTCAAGACATCAGTACAGGTGATTTTTTTGAATACAACCCCAAAGCACAAGAAACAAAAGCAAAAAATAGACAAGACTCTATCAAACCAAGAAACTTACGTACCCAAAGGAACTAATCTCTAGACTGAAGAGACAACCTAAGCAATAAAAAAATATTTTTGTACACAATTCATCTAACAAAGGATTCATTTCCAGAATTTTCAAGGGACTCAAACAATTCAGTAACAAAATATTCAATTAAAAATGAACGAAGTGGCACATGGCAGAGGAGCAACAGTTCATGGTGGCAGGAAACAGCACAAGCAACAAGAGCAAAAGGAGCAAAAGGGAAAGAGAAGAAAGAAGATTTTCAGACCCTTATATTGTATTTGGCCATATCCAAATGTGTGTGGCACTCACACTCGTAATCCCAGCATTGGACCATTGGTCATCCACAAACTCTAAAAGCCTATCTCCTTGACTGCATGAGGCTTTGGGGACATCCAGACTCAAACCATAATATTCTCCTCCTGCCCACCCCATAAAGATCATGCATATCCTTTACGCAAAAAATGCTTAGGCCATCTCCAAGAGTTACCAAAATCCTAACAGCTTCAGTTCTGCTGAAAGGCCCAAGTCCAAAGTCTCTTTTGAGAGTTGAGGCAAACTCTTAGCTGTGATCCCCTGTACAAATGAATAGTTAAACATTTCCAACATTCAATGGCACAAAATAAAAATTTCCATTCCAAAAGGTATAAACAGGGAGATACAAAGGATTGGGACCAACAGAAGTCCAAAATCTAGCAATCCAAAATTAAGTCCTGTAGTTCCATGTGGAACATCCAAAGCAATCTGTGGCAAATTGTGACTTCCAAAAGGCTTGCATGGACCTACAGCACTTCTGGTGGTTGTAACTCCCATAGCTTCTCTCTGGGAGGGGCTGGCTTTGCTCCCTCCCTGAGGGTTTCCTTAGACAATCCATACTCCTGGCTTTTCCAGCTTTTGAGTTCTCTACTGCACTGTTGACCTCACACTCACAGCTTCACATATTGCCCTCTCAGGGACACACTGCCTGGCCTCCCAGGCCTTCTGAAATTGAGGTGGAAGCTGCCTTAACCTCAGACCTCTTGCATTCTGCATGTGCCTAAAACCAGGGTCACATGGATGATGCTGAGGTCTGCTACCAGTTGGAGCAGTAGCTAGGTTTCCTTCTTTCTTGGCTGTGGGGGTTGACTGCAAAGATCACTGAGCACTCTGAACCTGATTATGAGGAACAGATTCTCTCTGCTGCCTTTGTTCTGAAACCTTGTATGGCCTCTGTCACCATTCTGGATTGTAGTGTGGCTGCCACCATTCTGGAATATGAAGCTCTGCAGCTTTCTCCTTGAAGCAAAGTCTTCACTTTTGCAATTTTGAGGCTGCAAAGGGTGGAGACTTCCTGCTTCCTGGGATACCCCCAAGCCATCTTTTCTATTCTTCTGTTCCTTCTCAGCAGTTGAAACCTTAACCCTATCTTACAGTCAAAAGCTTTACTAGAACTTTCTTTCTGGTCAAACTTGCAATATTTTCAATCATTCTTCTGAGTTCTTTGCCTTGATGCACAACATAAATCTGGCTAAAAGCCTCTAACAATAACCATGCCACCACCTATACATTCAATTGCTTTGAAATTTCTTCTGCCAGATTAATTAATCTGCTGCCTTTCATCTCAATCTCAGGCAAAGTCTCTGAACATGAGCAAAATGCAGACAAACTCTCTGCCAAACCATACATGCATTGTCTGGAGTCCAACGACCAGTGCAGTCCTTCCCAGGAAAAAAAAAAAAACTTCCTAAGCCTGGTGTTTAGTGGTTTTCTGGTCTTCTGAGCTCTGACCAGAATCTCCCCTACAGAACAACCTAAGATGTTCCAGCTCTACTCCCTCAGGTGACATTTCTGAACCTTTCTAAATTCTTCCCACAAGTCATTTCCAAAGGCTCTTGAACCACACAGTCACGTATAGTCACAACAATGATCCCATTCCACTGGTACCAAATTCTGTGTTGGTCACTTTTTCTTGTTACTGGGACAAAATATTTGATACCCAAAATAAAGAAAGGGGAAGTTTATTTAGCTTACAGTTTTTGGAAGTTTTAGTCTATACTCAGCTGGATCCAAGGCAGAGTGATGTGTGGCTAAGGGGCAACTGTTCATGGTGACCACAAGCAATGTTAGTGGAAAGGGAAAAACAGGAAAAATGAGAAAAGCATGTCTTTTCCCCTCCCTTATATTGTATGCCAGCTACCCATCCCTGGGTGCAGCACTCATGCCACAAATTCCAGCATAGACAATGAACCAATCACAGATGCTAGACTCGGCTACCTTCAAAAGGCCTGCTCCCCCATGACCACTTGAAGGGGGAACATCCAGACACAAACCATAGCAGGGAAAATCATGCCTTTTCTTGGGAGTCTTCTTTTTCTTCTTCTTCTTCTTCTTCTTCTTCTTCTTCTTCTTCTTCTTCTTCTTCTTCTTCTTCTTCTTCTTCTTCTTGTCCTCCTCCTCCTCCTCCTTCTCCTCCTTCTCCTTCTCCTTCTTTCTCCTTCTCCTTCTCCTTCTCCTTCTTCTTCTTCTTTTCCTGCTTCTGCTGCTTTCTCTTCTTCTTACTCTTCTTCTCCTCCTCCTCCTCCTCTTCTTCTTCTTCTTCTTTATTTGTAAGCAATGATAAAGCAATACAATCTTAGCTAAAGAGTAATCATTTTGTAATAACAATTTGTACCTTACAAAAGATAAGGAAGATGGCATTGCAAGATGGATTGAATGGAGAAGTTACCAGAAATTGTTCCATTAATTTTGCCATTTACTGAGTGACTATACTGTTCTGATTGCGGGATACACAGAAGTAAATTAAAAACAACTCTCAGAGTCATGAAGTTTATATGCTAGTAAGGGAGAAGGGCAATAAGCAAAGTGAGCAAAATATACAAGAGATTCAAGAAGAAAATTAAAGCCAGAGAGTGAGACAGCAAGTGCTGACTGTTATAACTTTAGATAGTGCAGGCCTCAAAGACTTCAGTGAGATGTGTTATTTAAGCAAAGATCTGAAAGAAGTGACAGGACCATACAACTGTCTGGCAAAGAGTGTCCCTGAGCAGAGCCCTGATTGAGTTAATAGGAAATTAAAGATGACCACTGTGCTATGTCCTGATATCTTCAGGACAGCTGTCTGTGCCCTCAGATCCAGTGCTTGTATACAAACTAGGATGAAACAAGTTCCAACCAAGCAGAGTGGTGCGAGTAATAGGGGTTTTAATTACTGATACACTATTAGCTATATCTTCTGCTGGTTTTTTTTGAAGACTATTCCTCCCCTTTACTCCCCCAGAATGAACTGTGTATTTTTGGGTCTCCCCAACACTCATGGTTTTATATTGGGGGGGGGGACAACTGAGCAGAGCCAATAGTACAGCCAAGACCCTCAGTGGATATATGTCTGATCTATCAGAAGAAGAGTAAAAAGGCTGGTGTACATGATGCAGAGTATGTGGGGAAAAGGAGCAGAAAAAGAGTTAGAATAGTAATGGGGATCCTGAGACACCTGCAAATAAAGGATAGTAAGAGTCCAAAACTAAACCAATGCAGGATCCGGATAAGGAATAGTGGTTATATTAAAGAAATATTTTGCATTAGGTAAGGTGGTACATGATGGCTATGTTCATTATAAGAGGAGGAATTGTAGATTCCAGAGTTTCTACCTGGGGTGTCTGGGGAAGGTAATGTCATTAACTAAGGAAAAAAGAAGCAAAAGGAATGAGAATCAAGGAGAAATCTGTTCAGTTCCATGTTGAACTGGAGATATCTGAATGATTGCAAAGAAACAGAACTATAGGCAGGTGGAAAAAAATAGATCTGAGCTCAGAAGAAAAGTGAGATGGACATGAGGATTTGGTCCAAAATGTCAGTTAAATCCACAAAGAGAATAAAATTAATTGTTTAACTAGTATTATAGAATAAAGAAGGGGAAAAGGATGGAGTTATGGAAAATAGCAACTTTTAAGGGATTGGAATAAGGACAGGGGAAAGTGCAAAAGAGCCAGGGAAAGAGTATTTGGGGTAAAAGAAGGAGAATCCAAATGAAATCAACAGATGTCCTACTCTGTTTCCATGGGCATCTCATGATGTCCAAGGAATCAAGCAGCATATGTTCCAGGAGTCTGAAAGTAGGTCATTTCTTGCAGAAATTAGCATAAAAAGTTTTAGTAGAAATATTTTTAATGGCTTTGGCTTTCCTCGTGTCTCATTCCATATCCCTAAATCCAGTTTTCTCTGTTTGCTTTGCCCTTTGTTACCGCCCACTCTCCTCTCCTTACAGTTCTTTTTTCAAGAACTTAGTCTGTTAATCTCTGATCTAATTTTCAGTATTAGAGAAATATTTAGTCATCTAGATTAGATGAATATGTATCCTACACCAAAACAAAAGTCTATGAGGATAATTTTTATTGTGGTTTGGATCTGGAATGCCCTTCCAAAGCCTCATACACTCAAAGGCCAGACTTTGGAAAGGGGACTGGATCTCAGAGGTGCTATACTCATGGGTGGGTTGGTCCACCAATGGTTTCAGAGCTGATATATTGTTAAGAGCTGCAAACTGGTTGGAGGATGTGTCACTGGGTGCAGGAGCTGGAAGGGCACAGTTCCCTCCCCGTTTTCCTCTCTTCTTTCTCTGTTTCCTGGTTACGGTGGAATAAGCACCTTCCCTGTACCCAAGTCTTCCCACTGTGATGATTCTGTATTTAAACCTGATGAACAGTGACTGAAACTCCTGAAACTGTGAGCCAAAATAAGCCTCCCATGTAAGTTACAAGTGTCAGTTATCTTATCCCAGCATAAGGAAAATGACTAAGACAAAATAATAGTTTCAGCATCAGTAATTTGCAAACTTCAAAATTTCCTTATTTTCCAGTCTCCATGGTATGAGTACCTTTTGTATTTGTATTGGATATGAATTAGGACTTATGGAAGGCATCATTAAGGAGGGAGCAGCACAGTAAAAGTAGCCTTTATGAGTGCAGCTCCTGCCACTCATTCAACATACTTGATCCTATAGCCACTGGGGATCAGCCACCATGACTTCAGGCTCATCCACATTAAGTTTGATGAAACCTCACTTCTTTCAGATATAGATTGAACTTGATATTCTCATTGCATCTAAAACCCAAGAGTAGTAAAACATGGCATACTTGTCCTCACAGATCCAGAAACTGATTTGCTGTAGGTTTTCCAGGAATCACCATTGACAGTTTTGACACTGAATTGATACGATCTCCCTGGACGAAGACCATACACAATGCGTCCTTCTGATTTTTTGTTGCTATAGGGATTGAGGATTGTGAGTGCCTCTTTGGGGAGCCACTGCACCTCAAAGTCATTGTGGTCAGTCCAATCTGGGGGTCCCTTCCAGGTGATGGCCAAGGATGTATTTGCAACATCAGCAAATGACAAAAGACTGGGAGGATTTGGGGCTGTTTGTAGGAGAAAAACAAGAGCCTCATTCACATGATCCTTGTTCTGCAGTTTGGTGTGTATAGACATGTTGACTTGGTCAATGTGAACCCAGGCCATCTTGCCTGGGGAATTCCTGAAGGGACCCTGTGTACCTGTCTGAACCCTACATTAGGAATAGCATGAGATCACAGACATGAACACTCACTGGAAAGGGCTGTTTCCAAGATCCCCTACAGTGCTCCATACAAGCAACAGGCAGTAAGCACTCTCAAAAAGGGTGCTTTTTTACAGTCATGGGAGGCCAACTTATTTTAATTCGGGGATCATATGTTTTGGGTTAATGCATCCACCAAGGCATTAATCCAAGGGTACAGCAATGACACACTGGAACTCTGTCCTATTCTTTTCTTCCTTTATTTTTCCAGTCCCAGCAGCTGTCACCAACCTGAGAATCACAGAAAACTCCACTAGACATCTGTCCTTCAGCTGGACTGCCTCAGAGGGCGAACTCAACTGGTACAACATCTTTCTGTACAACCCAGATCTAACTCTTCAGGAACGAGCACAAGTTGATCCACTAGTCCAGAGCTTCTCTTTCCAAAACTTGCTACAAGGTCGAATGTACAAGATGGTGATTGTAACTCACAGTGGGGAGCTGTCTAATGAGTCATTCATATTTGGCAGAACAGGTAAGGCTCAAACCCAAGCAGTGGTGAATACAAGGAAATATTTTCAATGGCTCTTCCTTGATTTATTCTTATTTGATCCAAGGGTAACTTGCTAGAAGTTTGTGACCCTCACATTTTTGGCCTTAGATTAGATCTTTGATTGTGAATAACTTGTGGCGTTTTTGCACTGGCTTCTGCTCTTTTGCCTCATTTATTTGCCTCATAGGATTTGGTGAAAAATTAATCTGGCTCCTTGTTTCCCAGCAAACTACACAGAAAGTTGTAAGCCATGGTGGTTCTATTCCATCAATGCTTTTCAGATTTCTACAAGAAATAGATGAAACAGGGGGCAAGTCCAGTGTAGGTCAACCACAAATTGGACAAACAAAATGACTGCTATGAATTGAAAACTTAGTAGTACATAAAAAGAAAATGAAGAGTGTCAAGAAATGTGAGAGAGGGACAGAGAGACACATACACAGAGAAAGAGAGAGAGAGAAAGAGAGACAGAGACAGAGACAGAGAGGAGAAAAGACAGAGAGACACAGAGAGAGAGGTCTCTGGGTTGTAAATACGAAATGGAATCTCCCCCTTCTACATAACTTCAGTCCTTTTTCTCCTATTCAACATTTTATCGTGGTTTGACAGTAGTTTTGGGGTGCTGTTATGTGCCAAGCACATGGATCTTTTACTGGCATATGACAGTGAACGAGGAAGACAAGACCCCTTATCTCAGAGAGCTCTACATTAAACCAGAAGACCTAAAATGGTAAATTGTAGAGAGGTATCACTTTGGAACACCTTAAATTCTATGAAATAAATTTAAAACATGTCAAGACAGTGACTTGGAAAGACAAAACAACCCTTTAAACAGAGAAGGCATTTCAGCCGAGACATGAAGGTGCAGGAGTCATATGAAGAGCATATCCTAAGGGCATCAGCAAAAGGTCTTTTGGAGAAGATGGAAAAGAGCAGTGATAAACTTGGAGCGTGAAGCAAACTGCCTGGATGTTATCATTTCCAAAGCAACCTGTCCCCTCATCCCACTTCCCTTGTCTGCTCTTTAATGCACACAGTTACCCTAAAGAAATCAGTCTTCACTGTCCAAAGAATAGCAAAGCTTACGTACCCACAGAGAGGGTGCTGGTGTGACTGATAGATGTGCATAAATGAGGTTTTGATGAAAAGTCTGGGGAAAAATTGAGAGTCAAAAAGCAAATGGACAAGAAATAAAGACTCAGAGTGAGAGACGTTGTGGGATTTGTGGCTACCAGCAGGATGGGTCAGCGTAGGAGATGGAACCATTTATGAACATTTTCTAAGAGACAAGTTACTTGCTTAGTATTAAACATTTATGAAGTATTAAACATTATCTTACTCCTTTATCAAAGTACAAGCATATAGGTGTCACCTGTTTTTGTTTTGTTTTGTACAACATCACTAGCCAACAGCTCCCTCAATTTGAGTAACCTGAAATGTAGGTAAGCACTGACCCCGCAATACACACCACTCATCTGTATGCTCAACGTACTTTATATTCTCACCTGCAGGCCAAAATGCCTTTGGCTCTGCTTTGTTCTCACTAAGAACTTTTTTTTCCTGTTTAAGTCCCAGCCCCTGTGAGCCATCTCAAGGGATCTAATCAGAATATGACAGACAGCCTTTGGTTCAGCTGGACGCCAGCCCCTGGGGATCTCGACTTTTATGAGCTGATTCTCTACAATCCTAATGGCACTAAGAAGGAAAACTGGAAACACAGAGACCTGACAGAGTGGCGTTTCCATGGCCTGGTCCCCGGGAGGAAGTACACACTGTGTGTGGTGACTCATAGTGGAGATCTCAGCAACAGGATCACAGGAGAGGGCAGAACAGGTAAGAAACCCAATCACCAGTGGCCAGTAATTGGAGCAAAGTAGCTCTCTTTTAATTTAAAGATATTTTAAGTTATTATTTTTGATAATAAATAAAGTTAAAAATAACGTGCTATGCAGTAACCTTTACAAAGACATTATGCTACAGTGGATGACAGATACACACTGTAATGAAAAGAACTAGATCCTTAGCCTAGCACTGCCTCTTACTTGTTTGAAGCTGGTAAGTCATTGGACATCTCTAAACCTCAGTTTTCATATCTGTAAAGTGGAGATAATGATATATATCATCATTATGTTGCAATAACCCATGATTCCTAAAGGTTATATTTTGGGCTCACATAGATAATATCTATATGACATCCTGGGTTCAATCAATGCCATCTAAAACTTGGCACAATTGTCTATGAATCACCACCCTTGAACCCCAAAACCTAATGGAATCAACATTTTCCCACACCTACAATCCATTCAGGATACATTTGTGCTCTGCACTACTTTGGTAAGGCAGTTCTGATTATGAGTATTTAAAGGTACATAATACACTTGAGGACAGTGTCTTTTACATAGTAAATAGTATAACTTAAAGCTTCTACTGCCTTTTTACCAAATTGTCCTTTCCTGCAAAGTACATTAAACTATGTCTGATGTCATTCAATAATCTTATCTGTATATGTTGAGTACTGATACAATTATGTGACTTTCTGTTTTTCTCCTACACACAGCCCCAAGTCCTCCTAGTCTTTTGTCATTTGCTGATGTTGCAAATACATCCTTGGCCATCACCTGGAAGGGACCCCCAGACTGGACAGACTACAATGACTTTGAGGTGCAGTGGCTCCCGAGAGATGCACTCACAATCTTCAATCCCTATAGCAACAAAAAATCAGAAGGACGCATTGTGTATGGTCTTCGTCCAGGGAGATCGTATCAATTCAGTGTCAAAACTGTCAGTGGTGATTCCTGGAAAACCTACAGCAAACCAGTTTCTGGATCTGTGAGGACAAGTATGCCATGTTTTATTACTCTTGGGTTTTAGATGGAGTGAGAGGAGATATGTGTCCAGTGAGGCTTGATTTGAATCCACACTTTTATTTGGGATTCATTGGATTTGAATTCAGACAGATGCGAATATAAATTTGTTCATTCATTAAACGTGAATTGAACAGTAAGAAATAATTGTGCTCAAATGGAGCTTTTGTTGAGGGTATTGTTATTATTAAAAAGGCAATTATAGTTTTAATGTGATGAGGGAAATAAATGTTAGAATAGAAAAGCACGTTGAAGACCCCTTGACCCAATACAAGGGAGTTTCCTAGAAAACAAAAGCATCCAAATCAATAAAGAGAGCAGAATTCTCTACTAGAAGTGAGACGTGGAGAATATTCCAGAGAATAAAATAAGCGATAAAATAAAAGAACGTCTAACTGGTCAGAGTACGAAAGATGAGGATAAAAACAGCAGCTTGCAAAATGTCTTGTATGCTGTGGTGTCAACTTTGAACTTTATCATCAGAAATTATGCTTAATCATATCAGAAAGTCACTCTGAGTACACTGTAGAGAATAAACTAAAAAGAGCAAAACTAAAAGCAGAGAAACCAGTTAAATCCAGTAAATGTAGCTTTCAAGATCAGCTCAGATAGTTATTGGTTGTCAATAAAATACATAGTTTCATTTATTCAATAAACACTAATGCTGTGACATGTAGAAGTTGTGTTCTACATTGTATCCAAAGAACAGTTTGAGAACACATAGTTGTATTTGAAAGAGAACTAAAAGTTTTAGTTATAGTAAAGCAGACTGAGTTTCCAGTGGCTTACCCTGGCCAGAGTCTGTTCAGTCTGTTAATCAGCACTCTCCATTGATTACCAAACCCCGGACAGGACTCCAAATATGTCTGTCCTTTGCACATTGGCATTTCAGTCACCAAAGGAAACACAAAATAGTCAAGCCTAGGGTGGAACAAAGTTTTACTCACATAGACAGAAGACAGAGAAAAACCAGATTCAGTTTTCTGCATCAGCCCCTCACAGCCACGTGTCTCTCCCAGTCACTGGTGCAGACTGGCTATGTGCACCCTTCTCCCACTCCTCTGAAGGCAGATACAGCATAGGATTGATCAGATACCATGTGGTGCACATGCTTAAGCAGAAAAAGAACATACATTGACCCTGAGCTCAAAACAAGGGAAGAGAGTCCACATTAGGTGTTCAGCTCTACAAAAGTCACCTGGGAAAAATTCCAGGGTCCATTCTTCTGCAGCCACGAGGTAGGGTGAAAGACTTCACACAAGACCGCCTTGCCCGACTGCATCTGGGGTGCTCCAGTTAGAAGCTCATACAACACCAGGAGAGTGGACTTGTACATCACATCTGTATTGTTACCATCTGCGCTATTAAAGTTCAGGACCTGCATGCTAGAATTTAATGCAGGCATTTACCAAATGAGGCACAATCCAGAGAACAATGGTAATGAAGCAGGATGCAATGTTTTAATGTTGTGTTTTATAAGAAATGACTATTTGTGCCTGCCTGGCTCTGCCTCTGTCTCTGTCTCTCTCCGTTTCCTTCCTCCTATCTTTCTTTTGAAAGGCAGTTTTACAACTGGGTTTGGCTGTGAATAATAGAAAACCCAAAATGAGAAGCTTAAACAAAATAGAAGTCTGCAGTTCTCAAAAGCATTGAATGAGCTGGAGCCAAACTCAGTGGTACAGTGTTTGCCTAGCATTTACAAGGCCCAGGGTTCCACCTCAGCACTGAAAACAAAAAGCAAAAGAAAAAAGTAAGAAAGAAAGAAGAAAAAGAAAAATCATCTCAGTACTTAGTTTTCCATGATTATGCTCCAATCATGATGAATAATTTGTGGATCTTATGTTTGCTTGTTGTAATCTTTGTTTCTCTGTAAGTTAATTTGTCCCTCTCGGGCTTTTCTCAGGAATTTATTATTGATTTTCTGCAGTGAAAAGTTATATGCTTAGGTACAAGGGTTTTTTTGGAATTTATCCTATTTGGTGTTCTGTGAGATTCCTGGATCTGTGGTTTTTCATTTGACATTAATTTGTGAGAAATTTTCAATCATTATTGTCTCAAAAATTAGGTAGTTCTATGCTTTGCTCTCTTCTCCTTCAGGTATTCTTATTATGTCTGTTATGCCTTTTATTTCTGTTCCAAAGTCTTTGGATCTTGTGTCCCGGCTTAAGGGGGAGTATTTTGTTTTGTATCTTGCAGTACTGATATTGAACTGAGGCCCTTGAGCCTCCTAGATAAGCACTGTCTATTGTCTCCAGCTCTCCATGCTATTTTTCGTAGTCTTTGTTTTTGGTTTGTTTGTTTGCTTCTGCTGTAGTACATCAAAATTCTTAATAATTTTTAAACAACAGACATCTCTTTTACATTTGGCACTGGGCCCTGAAAATTACATAGCCTTTCATATCTACAAAGCTTGTAAGTGATATGTAATTTTATTTGGGGGAGAAAAAGAGTAAGTAAAGAGGAAAGGATAACATTTGTAATGGGTGCCATAAATACTCAACAAGGGATTGGCATGAGTTTTTTTCCATTCTGTGCCCTTTATGTCCATCAGACTGTTTTTGTCATACTCCACAACATACAATGCTTTTGTGACTTTTTAAATGGGTGGCCTTACTGACTATTGCCGTCTGAGAACTGTTACTGTATGTTGTGCTATGACCAACAGAACGGTGGGCAGGCTTTTAAATTTCTTTATCAAGGCTTTTGACCACTGAAATGAAGTTGGATGGTCTAGACCAGTGATATGAACCTTTTTTAGAGTTTTCAGGATACAAAGGGCCCATTACAGCATGAATGCCATGGATCGTCCACCACTGTTCTAGCCTTAGATTTTGAAGTTCTATTCCAGAACCTGAGAGTTTCTCAGAAGTCCCTGGAGAAAGAGGATATGTAACAAGAGGTCTTGGTCTGCACTCTGGCATGGCATCTTTGGTTTCCCAATTCACACTTAAAATATAGGATCAGAGACCCTCTGACTTTACACATTGGGGACCTGAGAACTTTTCTTTTTTACATGGCTCTGTTGCAACAACTGAAATTCAAAAGCTACTTATCTAAGCTGTACAGCTTACCATCATAGTGTGTAATTAGACAGGTCAACCTGGGAAAGCTAGGAATTTGGCTATTAACCTGCATGGCCTCATAAGGGCTTCTCTCTCACAATGAATCTTTTGCACATTACTGTGTCATTCACAACAACAAACAAGATTAGCTGTTGTTTACTGAGTTCCCAATGTGTGTCAGCTACTGTATCCAATAGAAAAAAACTGAATAGTGACAAACATAGCAGGGTAGAACCTTGTGACATGTGTGAGGAGCCACAGCAATGTCTGTGTCTGCGACATAGCATGTGAGCATTGAAGAGCAGGCAAAGAATGGAGAAAAGAGACAGAATTCATGGCCTGGAGGATAGCAAATCAGTAATGCCAGTTTGTAATTTCATCTCTGTAAGAGCTCTTATCTCTTGAGTAGTTAGCAGGTCCACTGTTCTAGTGACTGCGTGTGTTCCAATCATCAAATAGTGACAATAGCCATGTAAAGAAGATACTCAGCATCCTCATTTTACAGATGAGACACAGAGATGTAGAGATGTAGTGCACAACCAGCAAATAAAAATTTGCAATCAAGTCGGGCGTGATGGCACACACCTGTAACCCCAACCCTCAGGAGGCTGAAGCAGGAGGATCATTGCAAATTTGAGACCAACCTGGGTTACAAGTGAGTTCAAGGCCAGCCTAAACTGCGTAGTGAGATAGTGAGACGCTGTCTCAAAAAGACCAAAAAAAAAAAAAAAAATAGGTTTAATCAGCCTGATTGAGCTACACTTTTAACCTCTGAGCTGCCTACCTCACCTCTATCTGACTTCTGTCACTTTATTCCATGTGCATCTGTATTTCTAACATATTATCACTTGGTTATTCTCTAAAGGGACAGCATGTTAACTTTTTTTTTTTAATCAGGGCCTGGTAGCCAGAAAGTCCTTTGATGTTCAATGAAAATTTTCTCCTCAAAACACAACCTAAAAAATGTGAGAGCTATTTCTTTAAATCTCAGAGTTAGTTGAACCCGAAGGAGTTGAAAAACACATCTGTCAGACAGCTGAACTGTGTCTTTTTTCTCTGCTTTAGAGCCAGATAAAATACAAAATCTTCACTGCCGCCCTCAAAATTCAACGGCCATTGCCTGTTCTTGGATCCCCCCTGATTCTGACTTCGATGGGTACAGCATTGAATGCCGCAAAATGGACACCCAAGAAATCGAGTTTTCCAGAAAGCTGGAAAAAGAAAAATCTTTGCTCAACATCATGATGCTAGTGCCTCATAAGAGGTACCTGGTATCCATCAAGGTGCAGTCAGCTGGTGTGACCAGCGAGGTGGTTGAAGACAGCACCATCACAATGATAGATCGTAAGTGTCACTGCAGGGTTTCTTGAATCTCCTGCCACACAGGGTAAAGGTTCTGCACCTTCCTCTAGTCACTATTTATTAGCGTACAGTTCACTTGTACTTAAGCTTGTATCATTGTCACTTGGAGAAGAGGACCCAAAAGGATCCAGGAAATGGAAACATTTTTATAAGTATGCTAACAACAAACAAGTTAAATGATGTTAAAGTACCTGAATGAGTTAGTATTTAAACACATCACTTTGCCTGTTATAGTTAGAGCTATAATGGAGCTTTTAAGCAATTTGATGCTACAACTGCAGGAAATCCTGCTGGGGAGTTGCCTCTTTCATTATATCTAATGTGCCGCTGGGAAATCACGGTCTCTGCTTGCTTCCTTTCAAGGGAGGGGAACAATTCTTGATCACAAGCTTTAAACGCACACCCTTTTCCTCTCTCTTTCTCTCTCACACACTCATGCACACACCAGCAGTCTGGGGTCTGGTGTAAGAGACTGCAGACCTTTGCTCTACTGCTTGCTTAGGAAGTAAAAGCTGCACTGTGACCCGGTTGGTTCCTTCCCCTCCTCTTTTCCAGGCCCTCCTCCTCCACCCCCACATATTCGGGTGAATGAAAAGGATGTGCTAATTAGCAAATCTTCCATCAACTTTACTGTCAACTGCAGCTGGTTCAGTGACACCAATGGAGCTGTGAAATACTTCACAGTGGTGGTGAGAGAGGCTGATGGTAAGTTAGGACGAGCTACTGAACTCTACTTAATACCCAGAGTTGACTTCTCAAAGGTCCTGTGGGAGTTCCTTCTGTGACAAGTTCTTAAGAGTTCTGACTTTAATATTTGTATCATTTAGCTCTGTCTCTATTGGATACCAGAAGGCAGAGCAAAAACTGCTCCAATGTATTTTAGCAATCAAGCCTATTATCCTTGGGGTTTAATTATTAAATGGGAGAAGATGAAGAAGAATAGCAGCGACAATATAACAATAACTAGTCTTTATTGAGTTCTATTTGATAGGCATTTTTGGAAATGCTCTGCATGTATTGACCAATAGAATTCTTTTCACTAATCATCCATCTAACACACCCACTCTGAGACCTTATATGTGTCAGGAAAACACTACCACTGAGCTATAAGCCCAGCCTGCTACTCATGAATGACATTCACTGTTCTTTGATTGTACTATTGAACAGCAATATGTCTTAATTCCCTTCACCCCTCTGTCTCAAATATCTGAATTGACCAAACACTCTCAAACCACCTACCTATTTACAAAAATAGCCAAAAACTTGAAGGGAGAAAATTTCATAAAGAATATTTCTTTTTCTAGTAAATTTTGAATAGTATATTTCATTTTCTAGTTCCTTAAATTACTAATTCCTATAGGTTATTAGGTATACCAATTCCTATTAGGTATACTAATTCTTAAATTGCCTAATTCCTACAGGTTAGACAAATACTAAATAATAGTTTTGCGGCATTCCGTACAACCATTGAGTGTGCTCTTTAGAGCTTATTATTATATGTCTATAAGGCATTTGTCAGATGACTATAGAAATGTATTTGAGCTATGTATGTCTCTGTATGCATTTGCCATTGAAGTCTTATATATTAATTCTTCAAAAGAGATGCTTGTTCCTGCAATGACATTAATATTTTTTACCTTCTTTGTATTTAAAAAAATTATTTAAGGTGCCACCCTGAGTTTAAGTATCCCTGAAAATTTTGGCTGATTTGTGGCCGAGGTAGAAACTTTAAACCTATCAAATAGTGGAGCAATTTTCAGGCTAAATGACTCATTCTGAGTACCTAATAGTCCATGTGCTTTACATTTTATTTAATTGTGCTAAATCTGGTTGTGCAATTGCCAATTAAGTAATTTTAAGCTGCATCCCAGATTTTCTTATACCTCATAACTGAAGATAAATTTGTAAACTATGGAAACATTACTTTTAATTATGCATGAAGATAATTTTTTACTACGTGAATATAAGGCAGTGACAAAAAGTCACACCCCTGAAAGCAATCAGTGGGTTTGCATCCTATCCATAGAAGCGGACTATAATCCCCTGGTACTTGCCTCCAATAAATGTTATGTATAGCATAAATTCATCCTAAGGTAACTCTCTTTTTCAACTACTGCCAACAAAATAACATTTTCATTTGGAGAAATGTAAATGTTTAACAAAAGAACCATCCAAATGTAGGAAGCTATCTGTCATCTGGGTCTTAGATTTGCTTGTAAGAAGGGAGTTCTGGTGGCCAGAGGCTACAAAAGAAGGGATGTGTGGGAGGAGAGGAACCAGAAAATCTTTGAAAGGTAACTTCAGGGTTTAGGCATGGGTACAGGGACTTAGGGAGAAGAGGACAAAAGCAAAAAAGTAAAACAAAACAAAAAATCCCATAAACATTTCCGTCTGGGAGGTTACTAAAATGGGAGTTAGGAATGCAACATTACAAGGACCTTGGCTCCTGGAGTTAATCAGTTCCTTTTCCCTTCCATACCAACCTGCATCCTCAGACATGGCATAAGTAAAAGACCAACAAATAAAAAACTAGTAATATTTTTTAAGATCCACTTACTGTGAGCAATTTTTATTAAAATAAGAGTCAGGATGCCATGATAAACTCCACAGTAGCACTCCCTGAAGTTCATTATAAATGGTATCTGATCTCCATAATATTTATCTTCCTAATTATGCTTTTCTCCAACCAATATCAAAACTAGTTCATAGTGCCAAAACACACAGCAGGTTGGGTAGACAAGGGAAGAGTTCTGGGAACTGCTCAGAGTGAGCCAGAATTAACCTGTACTCGAGATAACAAAGGGCCACACAGAGAGCAATTATCAGACTGGGCATGCCCTGTGGATCATGCATTGTGGAACAATTGCTGTGACCTGGGACATGGTTTCTCTTATCTCTTCCCTACTTCCCAGGTTGGGGAGGGGGGATTTCCTTATTAGCTCAACTACAGTGGCTGTTGGCTAGGTAGAAAGCTTATTGAGTGAGTTGACTGTCTCGAAGAGTTATTCAGCTTGCTGGTGCTGTGAAATATATTATCATTTAATATAATGAGATATCTTCATTCTATTTCCTAAAAAATGATTATATACATATGTAATATTTATTTTAGAAAAAGCAAATTAAAATTAATCTCACAGTGTCCTTTTAAATCACAGAATCTGTATTTTGGGATGGCCAGAGATGGAGGTTAAGGAGGCAGCCTCAGGAATCTAGTTAATGTCACTGAAACCACTCAAGTCACAAGAAAGGCAGACCTTAACTCAGTTTTCTCTTTCAGGCAGTGATGAGCTGAAGCCAGAACAACAGCACCCTCTCCCTTCCTACCTGGAATATAGGCACAATGCCTCCATTAGAGTGTATCAGACCAATTATTTTGCCAGCAAATGTACTGAAAGTCCTGACAGCAATTCCAAGAGTTTTAACATTAAGCTTGGAACGGAGATGGACAGCCTAGGTGGAAAATGTGATCCCAATCAGCAAAAATTCTGTGACGGACCCCTGAAGCCACACACTTCCTACAGGTTAGATACATTACCATCATTTTACTGCAAGAGATGTGCTACATTACTCGGTGCTCAGTTATCTGAAAATCTGCTGCCTAGGAGTTCCTGTAAACTAATAGCCCATGGTATAAGATGACTGCACATCTCCCTTGGGTAATTTATAAAAGTTGGGTTCCTGCCTGCATTCATTCACAGGTAATGTTTAAAGAGGGCTTTCAACATTATAAAAACCATTATGTGGTGAATGAAAGCTTTTAATAGATTATTCTTTCTCTGACAACTTCTGTAATATGAGTCAAATGGTTTATAATGTTAACAGCTGTGAAAATATCCAAAAAGACTGAGTTTAGAGAAATCCAAACAATATGAGGTTATGACTTCCGATTTTAATGAGGGACAGGACTATACTTATTTTCCTTCTAAGTCATGCAAAAATGAAAGTGCTCTGTGATCTAGACAAAACTCATAAAAAGAAAGGGCCTCTGAATGAATGGGGACACATTTCCCTCCTTCTAAGAGGGCAGACCAAAAAAGTAACTATTTGACCTTGGTTCCAGGAGATACCACTGCAGCCAATAGGCCCTTCTAGTTCTAGAAATTAGTGATGTCTTTTCTGCACTGTTTCCAGGAATAAAGTAGAAGCAAAAGCATGCATCATCCCAACCAGAGTCCTGAAGAGAAAGGAAACCTGGGATATTGTCTCGGCTATAGGCATCTAAGACAATTACTTTGCAAAGACATGCCTTTGCTCTTGGGTGTTGGCAGAATTAGTATTCAGCCAATATGGCAGCCAGTCAGGTTCTCCACAAGCCAGTGTCCATTCTGGTTGGCCAAAGTCATACTGACTCAATAGACCCTAACATAGCATCAGATTTAAGAGAATTCTTAGCTCCTCCTTTACATTAACAAAGGCAACCAATGACCCTAAAACAAAACACTCACTTTGTGGGAGAACTCTGCATACCTACTTTTGCTCAGGACTTGGCACGCTTGCTGTTACCTCACAGGCAAGGTCAGTACCTCCAGAGTAAACACACACAAACTTATTAGTGATATTTACTTCAAGAAGAGAACATGAGAGCTTATTTGAAGAAGATAAAGTCTGAAAGAAACAAGGAAATACGAGAGATCAGAAGAGAAATCCTTCAGATCAGAAAACTGAGATTCAGGGCTGGGGATTTAGCTCAGCGGCATAAGCACCTGCTTTGCAAGCAGGCGGTCATGAGTTCGGTCCCTGGTACTGATAAAAAAAAAAAAAAAAAAAAAAAAAAAAAACTAAGATTCTTCAGTTTCTCTAACAATTAAGAGAAATCTCTCATCCTTCATTACTTGAGCTCAAGAAATCTGAGTAAAAGTCCACCAAGAATCATTTTCTCTTCTAGGTGGTGGAAAATCGAGGTTTTCTTGCTCATTTACATATGGAGAGCAGAGAAATGACTTTAGTTCACTTTTGTCAGAGGAGCATATGTTCCAAAGTCTCAGAGGATGTCTGAAAATGTGGATTAATAGTCAACCCTATAATTTGATGTGTTTTTTTCCATTCTTAACTAAGCACTTGTCATGCATCATGCTGTAACTTTTGTACTGTAAGATACGACAACCAAACTAATACAAAGTCCTTTTCCTTTCTTCACAGTTCCACAAAGAGCTTTGTTCTTAGCAACCTCAACATACAGTTTTGTCTGGTTTGTTTCTTCTTTCCTAAGACTGGAACTTTCACATTTTAACTAAAGAACACACTGCATAGCTTCTCGCTGGCATACTTGCACTGCCAGCGTCACAACTCATGCACTTTGGGACAAAGGGCAAGAGTAGTATTTATTTATTTTTAAGTAAAATAAGGTCACTTGAGCATGAGCACTGTGATTCCATGGCAGTCAGTCTCATAACGAGATAACTATTAGTGACTAAAAGGTGACAGGGAAAGAGTGGGCAAAGGGATAACGTATGTCCTCAGTTGAACCAAACGTGACAATGCAAGATTTTGTCATGCTACTGAGGACAGCACACAATTTAAAACCAAGGAATTCTTTATTTCTGGAATTTTCCATTTAATATTTTGTGAATGATGTTGACTATGGATAACTGAAACAGCAGAAAATGACTATGAATAGGGAAGGGGAAACTGCACCAAATTTCACAGAGACGGCAAGTGAGAAACTATGTACAACTTGTCTCTGGATCAGAGCCTGTCAGTCCCATGGCACACATCCCTTTCTGTCCACAGTAGCTGCTCAGGTCTTTGGAAGCCTCCCAGCATTTGAGCTCCAGCTCTGCTAGTCACTAGCTATGTGATTTTGTTAGCTGCATTCCAGCTGTCTAATCATTGCTTTCATCTTCAGATCATCACAGAGTTGTCTTGAGAGGTAAAATATAAGACAGATTGAGTCTTACTGTGTCCTTTCTAGATTAAGTGCTCCTTGTGATTGCTATTCATGTACAACAGCTCATCTACCATTTGTGTCATAGAGCACTTGCTTCTTTGCACAACTTAGAAGGAAAGTAAGTATAATCCTGTCCCTCATTGCCAGTTCTCACTCCTCCAAATTCCCTCGATACAGCATGGCTCTCTTCTACCCTAGCCTTTTCCCTCTTCTTTTCACTCTCTTTAGGACCCTTCCCACTCTTCTGTGTTTGGCTATACTCCTGCATGTACCTGTCCTTTTTAACCTTTGAACAGATATCAACCTTGTTCACTGGACTGACAGAACTCACAGTCTAACAAGAGCAACAGGCGTGTCACAGGACACAGATAAATGTATCAACTACTTGGCACAAAAGAGGTGCTCATGAAATGTTAACAGATAAATAAAGGAGTGAGCCAAGACACTCTGAGAAGTTACACGTTCTTGTTATAACCAACTCATGATATACATACTTGTTTTCTAGCACACAGCTTTCTTATATTTCTAAAATACATTTGGTTCCACCTGTTAAGGGCAAGGCAGGCAGATAATACTTGATAAGGGAAGGCATAACCTTTCAAATCAAAGTACATGAGAGAACCATGCACTAAGAAGCCTCTAGTGTAATGGCTGCTGAACATGCTTCCATCCAGCCAGAATAATTCTGTCTGTCTCAAAAGGATAATCACCATGGTGACCCCAGAAACTGCTGGGGATTTTTTTAAGAGAATGAGTAAAAAAATAGAAAATGATTTTAAAAAGAGAGAGAAACATTGGGATTGAAAAAATGACAAATGCTAAGTTTAGGTGATATAGAAGTTTATTTTGTCAGTGAGTATAGTATTTTCCTATTCATTGTTGAGTTTCTATTATCTGATTATCTGTAAGTATCATTAGCATGGTTTCATATGGAAAGGGAAATAGAAGACTGTCATGGTGAAAGGCAATTTGGAGGTCAGGAAAATGTTGATTTGGTTTTGTTTTTATTCTAAATAGAATAAGAAGGTGGCCACTGTAAGGTGTCAGCTTCTTTGACCTCATTTTCCTCAAATGAAAAGAAACTCAACCATATGATTTCTATCTTTCTGCTATACATTTCTGACTCTCACAAATTTAAAGTTGAAATAATTATTATTACATATTTTCTTTGGTTACTTTTTTCTTGTTGTTGAGACAAAATACCTGACAACCAACATTAAGGAAGGAAAGGTTTATTTCTTACAGTTTTTTGGAGGTTTCAGTCCACACTCAGTTGGCTCCAAGAAGCAGGGTGGCATAGCAGAGTCGCCAATTATGGGCACCGCAAACAGCAAGCACAAACAGCAAAAGAGAAAGACACACCTTCTTCCTGCCATTACACTGTATGCTGGCAAGCTCTAGACAATGAACCAATCACAAATGTTAGATTCAACCACATCCATGATTGCATGAGGCTTGAGGGGCCACTGACATAAACCATGACATTCCACCCCTGCCCCCACAAAGACTCATGCGCATCCTTTATACAAAAGACATTTAGTCCATCTCCAAGAGTTGCCAAAGTCCTAACAGATTCAGCATTGCTGAAAAGTCCAAGTCCCAAGTTTCCTCCGAAATTTAAGGGAAACTCTTAACTGCAAGCTCCTGTGTAAATGAAAACAAAGTTAAAAACTTACAACGTACAATGGCACAAGATAAACATTACCATTCCAAAACTTACAAGCAGGGAAATACAAAGCATTGGAACCAAAGCAAGTCTAAAATCCAACAGAGCAAACATTAAGTCCTGGAGTTCCATGCTCAACATTTGAAGCAATCTGGTTGTGAGCTCCAAAAGGCTTGAATGACTCCACCCCCACAGCACTTCCAGGGGTTCCAATTCCTACAGCTTCTCTCCTAAGGCAATTTGGCTCAGTTTCTGCAGCTTTCTTTGGATGATCCATGTTCCTGGCTTTTTTAAACTTCTGGGTTCTCCACTGCACTTTTGGCTTCATCCTTACATCTTTATATATTGTCCTCTCAGGAGTGTACTTTCTGTCCGCCCTGGCCTTCTGAAATCTGGATGGAAGCTGCCTTAACCTCAGAACTTGTGCATTTTCCTTGCACTTAAAACCAGCACCACATGAATGCCACTAAGGTCTGCTGCCTGCTGGAGCAGTAGCCAGGCTTTCCTTTCTCTTGGCTGCAGAGGTCGAGTGCCTGGATTACTCAGTTGTCTGCACCTGATTGTAAGGAAAAGCTTCTCTATGCCTCCGCCATTCTGAAATCTAGTGTGGCTGCCACCATATAGGAACCTCCTGTGGTTGCCATTTCCACTCTTGAACCTGGTGCTCTGCAGCTTTCTCCTCTGAGCAAAGCCTTTTACATTTGCAGTTTTGAGGCTGCAAAGGGTAAGACCTTCTGCTTGCTAGGATGCCCCCAGTCTATCTTTTTTATTTCTCTGTTCCTTTTTGGCCATCAAGGTCTTAGCTTCATCTTTACAGTCCACAAACTCACAACATTTTGAATCATCTTTCTGGACTCTTTGCTCTTGATTCACAACATAAATCTGGCTAAAAGCCCCCAACAATAGCCATGCCACCCCCTCAACATTCAACTGCTTTGAGATTTCTTTTGCCAGATTAATCAGTCCACTGCCCTTAATCTCAGTCTCCGGCAAAGTCTCTGGACACAAGCAAAATTCAGACAAACTTTCTGTCAAGTCATAACACACATCATGTGGAGTCCACACGCAATCCAGTCCTTCTTCACAGCAAAAACTTCCCAAGCCTGGTCTTTACTGTCAGGCTTTCTATCAGCCTTCTGGTCTCCTGAGTTCTGACCAGAATCTTCTCTACAGAGCAGCCTAAACTGCTCCAGTGCCATTCTGTCAGGTGACATCTGTGAATCTTTCCAAACTCTTCCCATAAACCATTCCCAAATGTTCTTGAACCACACGGTCAGGTACAGTCACAACAACGACCCCACTCCTGTGGTACCAAAATCTGCCTTGAAATTTCTGCATGCTGGAGGCCAAAGGATTCAATCTGGAGTTCACCCCAGTGTCTTGTGCAAGTCCATCCCAGCAGGCTTATGGGTCTGCGACAGAAGGCCAAAAGATCTATACTGGAAGGCTGAAGAGTCTAAGCCAAAAAGCTGAAGAGTCTACACTGGAAGCCAAAAGATGACATCCAAACCAAAGGCAAAGACTGGAGCTCCTCCAAAAAGTGGAATTCATTCCTCCTTCCTCCTTCCCTTTTATACTGTCCAGGTGATGAGCCACCCTAGGGTGGGCCTTCTGCACCTTAGGGTAGAGAATTGCTAAACCCTTTTAGTTAATCTTCTAAATGTCTCAGATTGACAGAATCAATCAACCACCACATATATCAATTCTTGAATCTCCCATTTAACACACAGTGATGTCTTGTTGCTCTTCAAAGATATTTCCTAATGCATTTCCAGGATCTTTTAGAAACACATATTGTAGATATGGTTGATCAATATCATCAATATCTGGAGTGAATGACATTCGTTTTCCAAGATTACAATTGATTTATGTATGTTTAAAAGAACAGAGTGAAAAGGTCAGAACTATTTGTCTTGGCTCTATACTTCTCCAGCATTATCACAGTATATACCCAGATACTTTTGTATTAAATAGGTTTTTATTTTTAATGCAGAAAAAGAAGCTTTCCATTTATGTTTATAGAATTAACACTAGCAGAAATTGCCTTACATAAGCCAAGCTTAATACTCTATTGGTAAACCTATAGTGAAAGAATCTTCATAACAAAAGAAACCCAAGAAGCCACCCAAAGAGTGTTTAACTTAGGGCAGGAGTGCCCTTTGACAACTTCACTAAAAACTCATTCTCCTTCAGCCTCTGACCACATTCATTCTGATGACTGGCAGCTCTCTATGAAGCAGCCCAGGCTGTAGGTGTTAAAAAACAGTTTTCTGTTCCTAAATGCCTCCCTGTCTATGATTTCAGCCTTGTTCTACCTTCAAGAAGAAAAATGACATCTCTTTTCTTTTTCATAGCACAATTTTACTTAAATCTGAAATCAACTATCATGTTCTTCTAAGTGTTTTCTGTCATCATCCTGACCACTCAACTCAAGTGATTCTGAGTTCTCCCTAAAGTATGCCACTAGAGAATGAGCTCAACCCTCCAGACTGGCCTGATTCATGCCAAGAGAATACGTGCTTTGAGAATACGTGACATACGTGCTTTGATAAGATCAGAAGCTTTTCAATCAAACAGAGGTTTCAAATCTGATGTAGTGCTTCTGACTCTCTTGCTTATTGAATTTCAGACCAGCTGCTCATCAGGTACTGTCCAACATAGACAGCTGGACAGGTAATTCAGCAACTCCCCTGTCCACTCATCATGCTTCCTCTGTCTAGCTCCAGTTTTCATCAGTCTTGCAACTGAAGTTCCCGCTACCTGGAATGTGAGCCTGGTTCCTCTCGCTCTTTCCTCACATTTCTCTGCTTATGTCTTCTCATCAAAGAGACTTTCACTGACCATGCTGAATAAAGCAGTTGCACACAGTTGGACTCATTGAGTCCATCTTTTTATGCTGCTGTTTTCTTTTTCATAGAAAAATCTGACATATATTTGTGGATTTTTTTGTCTGACTGCCTCCATGGGAATATGACCTCTGGAACGGGAGGCACTTTATTTTGTTCCTTGTGGTATCTCCAGCTACCAGAATTGGGACTGGTACACAGCAGAAGTTCAATAAATATTTGATGAATAAATCAGTGAAACAATACAAAAACCCAGATCTGTCTGATTGCATAATTTATATCCCACCCTGAATACAAAGTTACCAGGTACCCACCGCACTTTTTATTCACATTTTCATTGTGCATAGCCACTAATTTGCTCTTATAGAAATCTGTTTTCTTTTCAGAATCAGCATTCGGGCATTTACTCAATTGTTTGATGAGGACCTGAAAGAGTTCTCAAAACCTCTTTTTTCCGACACATTTTTCTCTTTGCCTATCACCACGGAGTCAGGTAAGGTCAACCTTTCTAGCCACCCACATGTCTCCTGAAAGAAACTCTGGGGGGAAATCTGGTGACTTGGGCAGTGAAAGGGGAAACATTTATTTTCATTTGGAACTTAATCGTTATGTGATTGTGGATTGATGTAGATTAGAAAGATTGCACTGTTTTTGCAGGACAATGGCTAGAAGGCAATTAATTCATCTAGAAAATAAGATGAAGTGCAAAATTTTTTCCATTAAAAATGAATTTTTGTTCAGTCCTCTGCATCCTAAAACAAAATAACAGAAACAAAAACTAAAATTTAAAAAAAATAGTGAAAGACATTAAAACCAAGTGCTTGTATTTCTGGGTTGTGCCACTTTCTGCCTGGGTATACAGTCTCTTCACTGCACTGTTTGGGTACGTCCCTCAGGCCAAGAATAGCACCACTGTTCCTTGACAGTACTGTCTATCATAGCTTTCCCGCGGCCAGTGTGCTATGCTGGATCCCTTGGTCTAAAGGAGTTCTTTAGAGCTGAAACAATCTCTGCTGCTGCATGACAACACATGGCTCAGCTGTACAAAGATCCCTATCTACTTATGCCAAATATGGGACTGCTCAGGCCAAAAAAGGATCAGAGCCCAGTTAAGAGGATTTAGATGTATTTGCCTATAATTTAATGATAAGTAAGGGCTTTGTAAACACAATTCTTCTCAATTTGAAATGTTATACAATAAAAATTGTATTTAGTCCAGTAAAATGATATCCTAAAGATACATTCAAACAGAATAGTAAACACCTTAAAACAAAGATGACTGTGTTGATATGAAGAGTATGGAAAAGCAACATGCTATAAATAAATCCAAATTTTTAAAATAAAAAGCTTCCAAAATGGACTGCTTCATACAGTTCATATGAGTGTTAAAACAGTAACACTTTTAAAAGAAAACATAGCAGTAAATTGCCGTGACCTGGTGTTGTGAAATGGTTTATTTTTTATGTATATAATAAATGCATGATTATTTTCAGTTGTAATCTAGAAACTAATAAACAAAGTAATAAAGCAATATTTACCAGAGTTCACAGTATCTCTCACAGATAATACACACATCCTTAAAAACCACCTGTTGTATAACCAAACTGACCATTTAAATATTATAGCTTTACATTAATCACACACAAACACATAGCTACTCATGTCCTTGAACCTGTGTACCTGATATGTGTAACAATATTTAAGAAGAGCTTGGGTTTCTTCAATATAACACCAAAGGACAAACAACAAAAGAAAAAATGTAAATCAAAATTAAAGGTTGTCATACTGCCAAAAGACATCAAGTAAGTGAAAAGACAACCCACAGAAAGGAAGAAAGTATTTGCAAATTATATATGGTATTCAGTAAGAGCTGTACACTCAGAATGTAAAAATAACTCTTACCTTATAATTCAACAATAAGAAAAATGACACAATTTTAAATTGTGCAAAAGATCTAAATAAAATTTCTTGAAAGAGGTACAAATGGCCAGTAAGTATATGAAAAGATATTCAACACCCTTAGTCATTAGGAAAATGCAAATCAAAACCTTAAGAAAATACAGATCAAAACCACAGTACTATGTCACTTCATAATCATGGAATGGCTATAATCAAAAATAAAACAAGTGTTAATGAGAATATGGAGAAACTTGAATCCTCTTAGATTACTTGTGTAAATGGGAAATGTTACACATACTGTGCAATATCATTTTGTATTTCCTCAAAACACTGAGCATAGAGTTATCATAGGATCCAGCAATAAGTGTATATTTAAGGGAAGCTAAAACATGTCCACACAATAATTCATACTAATTATACTTATCATGGGGAGCTGGTGAAGAATTATATTTCAATGAAGCTATTTTTAAAAATAGGCAAGCCAGGTATGACAGCATATGCTATAGCGCCAGCTACTGAGGAGGGCAAAAGACCAGCTTGGGCAAGTAAGACAGAAAGACAGTCTCAATTTTGTTTGTACTGAAGATTAAATTCATGACCTCATAATTACCAGGCAAGTGCTTGTGTCACCGAGCTAAACCCCTAGTCCTCAAAAAAATTTTTTAAAAAGGCTACTGTGGCTACTAATACTGTCATAAATTTCTCATAAATTCCAGGAGGCAGTGTCATGCCAGATAATAAAAAGATTTTGTTAATGCAACTTTCAGCAATTCACTGGATTTGTTAAAGCTCCAGATGCTGTGTAGCATGTTTCATATAAAGGAAATAGTATTTTTATTTTGGTAGTAAACTGATGGTTTCTATCACAAGTGCCCCAAGCTTGACATGGCAGCACAAGTCTGAAATTCCTTTACTAGCCATACATGATTAATTTAAAACATTAATGCATTTTTTACTGTGTAACCAGCCCACCCCAACAGGATGGTAGCCAGTAGTTGATCTTCTTAGCTGCATATTCACGGCTAGCAGAACCCAGGGCGGCATCACTTGAATGTGCTCATGATAACAGTACTTGGGATACAATTTCAAAAGCTCTCTTACTGGTTCCCCATGGCTAATCTCCCACCTGGATTTGTTGTTTCCTCTGGATTCTTGTAGAGCCCTTGTTTGGAGTAATCGAAGGTGTGAGTGCTGGCCTCTTTCTAATTGGCATGCTGGTGGCACTGGTTGCCTTTTTCATCTGCAGGCAAAAAGTGAGGTAAGCACAGTGATCCCCTTGGTCCCTGAGCCCATGACCTTAGAAATGCAACTAAAAATGCCCGTTAGCCTGAAAAGTAAGAAGGGAATATAATTTAACTTCTCTAAGTTAAACAAAGATTGTTTTTGCTTAACAAGAATCAAACTCTAAAACCATAGCACATTTCTTTTTCAGCTTTATTGTGTAGCATTGATGCATTTGGTCCTTACCAATGACTGTGAGTCCATTAGTAGCTTCATTTAAATATTAAATAACTCCTTTTGCATAGGAAAAAAATTTGGTGCGTATCTTCAGGAAGATGGAGATAGTTGTGAACTGTGTGCCCCAGTTTTCTGATATATCCCAAAAAAATATAGTTGATGCCATTTTGTGGGATGTTTGCCATCCTAATTTAAAGAAAGGGCTCCAAAGCACCAATGACATGTGCCCCCCACTGCCATGCTCTCTTCTCTTAGTGAATGTTTTATTTGGCACATTACACTCTTTCTTGAAGTCATGTCTGGCATCTGAGATTTACAAGTTTGGGGTTTTTTTAAGGAAAATTTTGTTAAGAGTGTGGGAAGTGATTATGACCCATAGCCAAAAACCAGAAGACAAACCTTCGGTTATTATAGAGATCTGTGCCTAAGTGAGAAAAATCAACTTTTTTAGGTTCTTCTTTCCCTTTTCTTCCCTCAAAGAAATATTGGCAGGGTGCAAATCTTCATGAATCCTGAAAAATCTAGATTTGCCCACACATGCAAGCCTTATTCTAAGTGGGAAACTTTTTTCAAATCAAATTTCATAATTGGAATAGAAATCCTCTACCTTGATCTGCAGCTGTAACTCAATGATAGAGCATTTGCCTAGCATGTGCAAGGCCCTGGATTCAATCCTCAGTACCAAAACAGAAAAATAAATCCTCTGCCTTACATTTCAGCCACGGTAGAGAAAGGCCCTCTGCACGCTTGAGCATTCGCAGGGATCGACCACTGTCTGTCCACTTGAATCTGGGCCAGAAAGGGTGAGTGCCGTATTTTCTTTCATTTAATTTATTGGAAGTTGGTATAATATGAGACTTGCTAACACAGTCATTCTTTTTTGTTTGTTTGTTTGTTTGTTTCTTGATTTTGTTTTTTTGGTTTCTTCACAGTAGCCGGAAAACTTCTTGGTAAGAGCAAACTCCTAATTACTATGCTATCTACTTTAGAAATATGGCTCATACTGGTTATGGTGTTTTGCCTTTTTTTTTTAGTAACTTTCTTTTCTTTTTATTTCTGATTACAGTCCCATAAAAGTAAATCAGTTTGAAGGGCATTTCATGAAGCTTCAGGCTGACTCCAATTACCTGCTATCCAAGGAATATGAGGTACAACTCAAGCACAGTGAAGCATGAAAGCCTCCCTGGTCCTCAGCAGGGTTTACTGTGCTGTAAAATTCCAGGCTGACTCATCTGAGAAGTTAAATTGATGCTTAGGGTCTAGCTGAATGTTTTTTGTGTCTGAAACAATTCACTGCACAACACATCTAATCTACACCTGATCTAATCTAATGTAATCTATACCTAATCTCAGGGCCAGTTTCAGCTCTCAAATAGTACAGCAAAGTGTTTCCTGGGTCAGATGGTACAGATCTCAAAGGGATAGGAATACTGTCAGTTATTCAGTCTAACCATGTGCTTGACTGGGAAATATTATGGTTTGGTAAAAAGGACCCAGACTTTGGATATTATTCCCAGTTTTGCCATCTGTGTAACCTGGAACACATTCATTTCCTGGCTAACACTCACCTGGAAGATGGTGGTAAGAGCAGCTCCCATGAGGGGCTGTGGATCAGAGTTAATGCATGTGGAACATAAGGTGTTCATTCCACAAAAAGTAACGTGTGTATTTTTTATATTATTGTGTATCTCAAGGACTGTATAATTTGCCTTAGTCTATTTTAAATTTTCCACTTGCAAACTTATTTTTGATGTAACAGGACTTAAAAGACGTGGGTCGAAACCAGTCTTGTGATATTGCACTCCTACCCGAGAATAGAGGAAAAAATCGATACAACAATATATTGCCATGTAAGTTTTGTGTTGTAATTTGTAAAACATTGTCTTCCTCTAGCCATTTCTGCTCTGTCCCAGCAATAGAAGGGGAACAAAAAATATGGGGTAGCTAGATATGGGAGCTCTCAGACTCTGAATGATTTTAAGTAAAGAATGACTTGTATGTTGGTACGCTGCTCTTCAGACACATAATGACCAGCTTAAATTCTGATTATCATAAGTTGTCTATAATTTCTCTTTAGAGACTCAGAGTAACAGTGGGTTAACAGCAGGGCTTTGACATCAGGCTGACCAGGGTTTGTTTAATTAAATCTTGGGTTAGTTATTTATAAAAAATATTATCCTTACCCCATTCGATAAAGCATAGAAGATCATTTTTCTGGATTGTTTCATTCCTGCAGTTAAAGGGAACTGGCCCCTTCATTAGGCAGTGTCATGATGGTTCAAAGGAAGGTACAGACGAGGTTCACCTTGTGTGCCACCTGGGCAAGTTAGTCACCCTGCTTGAGCCTTCTCTGTACAGTGGCGATTAGGACACCTTCCTGGTAGCTGCTGTTGGGATCAGATATGAAGCACATGAAATACTTCACTTTATATAAACATGGAAAAATTACCCCAAGACACAGCAACAAATCTCTCAATTAACTTTCTTCCAGATGATGCCTCACGAGTGAAGCTGTCTAATGTAGATGACGACCCTTGCTCTGACTACATCAATGCCAGCTACATACCAGTAAGTGGACCCCTAGGCTCATAGATGAAGCTGAGACAGGTGCTTACTCTGGAAATGACACCACTTCTCTGTTATGATCTATCTTACTGTTCTCCACTCTGTGGACATTTGTAGATTTGTAGAAAATCATGTCTGATTGCCACAAAACAGAATTGCTCTCTTTAATCACTTTAAAGTCCATATTTTACAATGACCACAGTAACTTACAATTATCATGAGCCCAGGGTGCATTTTTCAAAGGTGGTTCTCTTTGTGGCCCTTAAACAAGATTAGAGCTTACTAGGGAACATAGGTCTCTCCTGCTAGGACTGCCTAGGTAAGGAAATCAATCTCACATAGATTTTTGAAAGCCACACACACCTCAAACAATGTGTCAAATCTTTGGGCTCTGATTCTGTAGCATTTTGCAACAGCCTATAAGCCCATTACAGTGGAAGACATTTTAAGGGTAAAAAAAACCCAAATTGAAATCATATTTCTGCCCCCTTGCTGGTTCTGATGTCAGGTTGTTCTTTTAGAAATATCTCACCAATTAAACTTATCTCAGGTCCTTCTTTCCTCTAACAAGGAATTGGACAAGCCGACAACAGCACCAAAAGTTTATTTGAAAAATGAGGGGTAAAGGGGTAAGGAAAAAAACTAGTTCTGTACAGTGAGTGAACTTGGGCCAAACGAGGAGAGGAAAGGATTAAAGCAGAAATAGAAGTGTACTCTGCTCTAGGCTTCTTGTAGCATCTCATCTCTTTTATGTCGTCCACATCTCATGGGATCCTGCGAGAAGTTTCTCATACAGGGGTCTTGGGAATTATTTGGTGCTGTCCTGGGATTTTATGATTGACAGCTCCTGCTTATTTCCCCAGCCAGCATCACCATACCCTCAGTTCTATGACCTTGGGCAAATTATTTTGCTACTTTGACCCTCTATTTCCTTTTCTATAAACTTAAGAATAATATTTACCTCAAAAAATCATCAACTCACTCAACACGTATTAGTTAAATGTTAGTTGTAAGTCAAACACCAAGCTGTATATAAGCAGAGGATAGACAGCATTCTTTTTGTTGTTGTTGCTGTTGTTTTTGGTGCCAGAAATCAAACTCAGGACTTTATACCTGCCAGACCTCTGCTGTACTGCTGAGCTATATCCCCAGCTGGATAAACAGCATTCTGAACATAAGGTTTACTTAGAACGGTTGAGGCCTTCAGGAAATTATAAGCCTGACCCCTTGGAAATGTGCCTGTGTGTTTCTCCAACATAGTCCAGTGTGATCTGGGGCTCTTGTTACAACTGTAGCCAGGCTGTGATGGCCTAGGACTCTGTATTTCTAACAAGTCCCTAGGTGAGTCTATTGCTGTTTTCCTGAGAACCACTCAGGGTAGCAAGAAGCTAGAGGTTACTGGAGGATATTTAGGAGAAGGCTGAGAGCAAGGTAAAGCAAGCTCAGCTGAATAGGCCATGTGCTCAGAATACATGGAGATGAGTCATCTGGGAGGCATTGTTTGGGTGAACAGCATTGTGCGAGGCAGAGATGACATAATGTAGAGACTCTGAGGAGAAGCAAGGAGGTAAAGATCTTCAGCTAGGATTTGCAAGTAATTCTGTGTTGCTGGAATATAAAATGAGTGAATAAAAATATCCTAGCTCATAGTAGGGTGGACAGGATTAAGCAAGGTCCGTGGAAGTCTTGATCTACCATATATGATGTGATGAAAGATTAACAAAGAGTGGTCTCTCCTCCATTGAACTTCCTTACATGGTATGTCTTACCAAATTATTCCAATGTTGGTGCTCCAAGGTGATTAAAAGTCACATCTGCAAAATGACTAAAGCTCAATCCCTCAAACAGTCTACACACGTGTGCGCACACGCACACGCACACACACACACACACACACACACACACAGACTTATAATTAAGGGTGAAGTGTTTTCTAGATTATTACCAGGGTCCTCCATGTGACTTTTAGAGACCCAGCCTGAAAGGGAAATGTGCCTCTTAACAATAGTTCAATGTTCTGGCCTTTGTCCTTCCTGCTCCCAAGCCTTGACACTTCTATTAATTTCTTTTTTTTTTTAAGCCAGTAGCCTGCCTGGCAGAGATCTCTATATCATCTAATCTGCAGAGCTAACTCTTTGTTTACAGTTCTGAAGAGGCCCATTGTTTCTGACTCTCCGTGTTGTAAATTCATCTCAGGGCAACAACTTCAGAAGAGAATATATTGCCACTCAGGGACCGCTTCCTGGCACCAAGGATGACTTCTGGAAAATGGCATGGGAACAGAATGTCCTCAATATTGTCATGGTGACCCAGTGTGTTGAGAAGGGTCGAGTGAGTACACAGTCTTCCTGACTTCCACACTTTGCTTTAATTTCAGCCCAACCCAACCCAAACCTGCACTCTGTGAATCCAAGTAAAGATGTGTGAGAATGTGGAAATCACTCTGTTTAAAAGGTGGCTGGATCTGGGCCTGAAGTTTCAGTCAAAACGGTTCCCATGTGATGACTGGGATTTTCATAAGGGCCTACTATGTAAAAAGAATCTGTCCTCTCCTCCGCCCCGTCCTTCAGTGTGTGGCTTGGAGAGAAGGGTAGACACTGCCAGAGTCAGGGAACCTGGTCTTGCTTTCAAAAAAAGATGAGTTTTAGTCTGTCTTGGAAGATTCAAGTAAAATAATTATCTAGACAGATTAAGCAAGCTTCTTGCCATGCCTTTGTAACCAACTACTTTATGTAGTTACTTTGAGGATTAAAAGAGAGATTATATGTAAGGATCTAATAAAATCATACTGGGTTTCTTCAGATATTTTATGCTAAACTGAGACCTGTGTGTCCTCATGTGTACATATGTGTAAATAGATACAGAGTAATAGAACAACTAGAAACATGTGTACAACCATATGCATACATTTACGTATAAAACATAGAAATTGGCTGGGTGTGGTGGCACACACAAGTAATCTCAGCACTCTGGGAGGCTGAGGTACGAAGATTGTAAATTGGAGCCCAGCCTGGACAATTTAGCAACAAGACATACTTCAAAATAAAAAAGGGCTGGAGATTTAGTTTAGTGTGAAGGCCCTGGGTTCGACACCCAGTACTAAAAAAAAATTAGATACATATGTATTTCAGATGAAAGCACTTGGGGTGCCTCACCATAGTAGAATAAAACCCACAGTATACTTTTTGATATGCATGCATACTTATACAAACACAAGCGTATCAGTGAATATGCATACCTTATAAAGTATGTCAGTTTATAAATAAATTATAAATACTACCCCCAAAAACATAAGATACGTAAGAATTTGTAATTCCCTTTCTCCTTTCCTTTTACATGTAAATATAAGCTGAGCTATCCATTATGTCTTCTCAAAATTTCTTGGCACATGGCCCATGTTAGAAAAACAATAAAATAGGAACAAAATAGGGCCAGGAAGACAATGCCTTCCTCTTCTCGACTGGATCTTTCTTCAGAAAGAACAATAAATTATAACAATAAATTATAATTATATAATTATAATAATTACAACAATAAATTATAGCAGATGTTTTATCTGCTAGTAGAGCAAGAATGCTAACAAAATCAATTAAATAAAAAAAGCTTGTTTCTCATGTACTGCCTGAACAGTGAATGAATGCAAAGTTTGGGGCTTGAAGTTTGTTCCTTGTGGGGTATCCCCATTTCTTGGAGCAGCAGCACAGCTTCAGTACTGGTCATGAGCCAGCTAATAAAAGGTAGATGCTATATTGTTATCCGATCCTGAATTCCTAACTCAGGTAAGAGGTTCAGAGTGCAAGTCCAAGGCCTCACAGGAGTTGTGTTTCTGGGCTGACTTTTTATCTGTCTGTCCTCTCCTAGGTAAAGTGTGACCATTACTGGCCAGCGGATCAGGACTCCCTCTACTATGGGGACCTCATCCTGCAGATGCTCTCAGAGTCTGTGCTGCCTGAGTGGACCATCAGGGAGTTCAAGATATGCAGCGTATGTTAGTTTGCTTGACTTCACTTAATGACCCAATTTGGGAAGATTCAGTCCTGTGTTTGCTGATTGTGCTCCTGTAGTTTCAGATCACAGAAGTTCCAACATGGCACTATTGTCAAATGTGAGCTTTCCTCTTCTTATCCTGCTCTCTTCTCTTGCAGGAGGAGCAGCTGGATGTGCAGAGACTCATTCGTCACTTTCACTATACAGTGTGGCCAGACCATGGAGTCCCTGAGACCACGCAGTCCCTGATCCAGTTTGTGAGAACTGTCAGGGACTACATCAACAGGACCCCTGGTGCCGGGCCCACAGTGGTGCACTGCAGGTGTGTATGTGACAACCTAGGAGACAGAAAAATGGCCTCCATAAGGGCACTGTGCCATGGAACCTGAAATAAAGGCATAAGCTTGAGGACAGTAGTGGGTGGAAGATTTGTCTGAGCTCAGCCGCCTAAATCTCAGAGGATTTTATTACACTGTCTCTTTTCTGCTCTCCAAACTTGCTCCTCTTCACTAAATTTCTCTTCCACTTTATTCTCTCCCTCCACATCCTCACCCATACTCTCTATCTTCCTCTCCCTCTCTTGTTCTTTTCCCTACCGTATGAAATACAAAGTCCTTATATTCCTCGTGTTCTCACCGGGAATGTGACTGTACCAGCTCAGTCTTGCATTCTGTCACTCTTGCTCCTTAGGGTGGCTTCTCTCCTCCTGTGTAAGCCCTACATATCCTTTAACAAAGTGGTTCCAGTCTGCTCTCATGTCTAGTTGCATGTCTTTCCCATTGCTGCTGCTGTAACAAAATACTACAGACTAATCTGCAAATAGAAACGTATTTCTCAAAGTTCAGGTGACTGGGAAGTCCCAGATCAAGGCACTGACAGGTTCAGTGTCTTTCGAGAGGACAGCCTCTGCTTCCAAGAATGCACCTTCTTTTTGCCTCCTCCAGAGGGAAGGAAGGCTGTGTCTTTACATTGCTGAAGGAACAGAAGGGCAAAAGGGCAAAAGGACAGTCAGCTAGCTCCATCCAGCCCTTTTATTGTGTCATATATAACATGAAGACCTCAGGACCTAATCATTTCTGAAAGGTCTTATTCTTAACACTGTACACTAAGCATTGAATTATAGAAGGGAGACAAACTTTCAAACTATAGCACAGCACTTGCCTTCTGTAGCACCCAATTTTGCTCTTAAATTTCTGCTCTTTCTAAACTTCTTGCTTCAGAGAGTCTGCTCATAAAATCAACCTAATGAGCCATCATTCTCTCACTGGGGAGCCGGGTGCTTAGCTAATTAATGTTTGCAACAACACTTTGACAGCCCTAACTAAATGGCACTAATAAATAAAGAGCAGTGAATTACTAGAGTAAGAGAAATGTCAAGTGTGCTAATCTTCTTCCAATCAGCCCAACACCCTAGGAGCCTTGATTTTATGTCATTGAAATTCCAGTGCTTTTTTTTTTTCTTTTTAGACAGGGTCTCACTGTATAGCCCAAGCTGGCCTCAAACTCACTATGTAAGAGCAGGCCTGGTAGCATACACCTGTAATCCCAGCACTCAGGAGGCTGAGACAGGAGGATCTCTGCAAGTTCAAAACCAGCCTGGGCCACAAAGTGAGTGCAAAGACAGCCTGAACTGCAGAGTGAAACTTCATCTCAAAAAGACAGAAAAAAACTTCACTATGTAGCCCGTGCTGACCTCAAACTCAGTGACCCTCCTGCCTCTGCCTCCCAAGTGCTGGAATCAGAAGCGTGTGCCACCAGATACTCCATTGCCTACACTTTTAATGGGAGTGGGAGTCCAGAGCATCCTACTTCGTGAAGGAAGGATGGCAGGCATTTTTGCCCAGGACCACTGAAGAGCAGTTCTTTTTATCTTACAAATGCACTGTCAACCTAAATAACAACCAGAGATTCCCCCAAGAATAATAATATTTATTTGTGAATAGCAGTGCATGGAAATAGGAATATATGTATCACAGTAAAGGACAGATGTATTTAAAGAACTTGAAGCGAGGGCAAGCTTTTTAGACAAAAAGAAGGAAATTTATAGATACCACTTTGATAGCTCATTAGTCTTCATGACCTGAGTCAGGAGTTGTCAGCACATTGTTAGAGATACCAATGCTAGGCAAGTATTCTGTCAAAAACATCTTATCTGAATTACTACAGTCTTTTAAAAATGTTGTCACAGAAATCCACGCACATGTGCAGAGTGCATATTATCAGGTGCATGTAAAACAGGAAGCTATTTTTCCAGACCTTCAGAAAGCCCTTGAGAAAGTGTTTATCATACACAGGCAGACATGAGCTCTCCCCCTTAATCACTTCTCAACTCTGATTTTGTCAGGTCTGATGAAAATGATTTCCTCTTGGTATCAGCAATTCACAGAGCATCCAAAATCCCCAGATTAGCCAGATGTAGTGGTTCATGCCTGTATCCCAGCACTTTAGGAATCTGAAGCAGGAGGATTGAAAATTCAAGTCCAGCATGGGTAATTGAAGGACTTAGTGAGACCCTGTCCCAAAATTTAAAAAAAAAAAAAAAATGTTGGAGAGGTAGCACAAAGACCCAGCAAAATTGAGTGTATATACTCTAACCAACCCAGCTGTTCCACTTCTAGGTGCCAACACATCACACCTGTTCACCATGATGTTCATGTGACACAGTTTTAATAGAGAAAAACTAAAATTGGTTCATTGCCTAAGTAGGGAATGTTGATAGCAGTGCTTTATGGACTCCATAGAATAGTTAAAAGAAATTAGATCTACATGTAAAAATGTGGATAAATCTCAAAATACAATATTTGAATCAAAAATTGGCAAAAGAATACATTAAATAAGTTACTATTTCAAGACATTTTGGAAACACATAAAATAAATACATTGCTGATGGACCTATGTGTTTCTAGGAAAAGTACAAAAACCTGTGTGGAAATGATGTCCACCAAGTACAAAGCAGAATTCACCCCTGATAAATAAGAGAGAGAAAAGAAGGGGGAAGAGGTGGAATCTTGGGGCTTTAGATTAAATTTCTATAAGAGACAGAACTCAGAAAGAAAGAAGCTGTCCTACACTCTTCCATAAATTGGAAGAGAAAGAGAAAGATTGTGCCAGAGTCTCTGGATGCAGACGAAAGGCAAATTTAATAAAATGTTCCTTTGTCATCTCTTCTAGTGCTGGTGTGGGTAGGACTGGAACCTTTATTGCATTGGATCGAATCCTTCAGCAATTAGACTCTAAAGACACTGTGGACATCTATGGAGCAGTGCATGACCTAAGACTTCACAGGGTTCACATGGTCCAGACTGAGGTAAGAGTCACAGGATGAAGGACACAGACCACCTTTCTCCTCCCCCTACAAAAATATGTATTGATGTTAACATACTATATATTAATATTAAATATGTATTGTATATCTCTATCTGTCTATATCTCTCCAGTGCTTTCATCAAACATGGAGAAATAGCTATGGCACATTAGGAAGAAAAAGAGAACTATGCATAGACATTTTCTAGGACTTGCTATTGTGATGTAAATCTCAATGACCTTCAGGACAACGCATACACTTATTTTTACTTAACTAGCTGCTTCACTCAGAAAAGAATTAGTTTAGGTGCGTAGGAAGAAAAGTGAATTTTTTTAATCAAAGTATTGTACATGGGGGGAAGGATAGGCCAATCTATCTTGCAGAGACATTTAAAATAAGCTGAGGAATCAACATAAGAACATCAGTTAGAAAAAAGACCCTAAGCTCCACTCTCCCTCTGCTCAGTGCTTTTGCCTATACCTTTATCTCCAAAGACATCGAGACTATGTCCTTTGTAAAGGCACAATACTTCCATTTGCTTTCATAGCCCTGTCACAGATTTGCTTTGTTTTGTTTTGTGGTACCGGGGAATTGAGCCTAGAGCATTTGCACTGAGCTACATGCCCTGTCTATTTTTTAATTTTTTAATTTGAAATGGGGTCCTCCTAGACTCCTAAGTTGTTGAGACTGGACTCAAACTTTTCGTCCTTCAACAGCATCTCACAGTGCTGGGATTGCAGGCATATTCTACCATGCCTCAATCACAGGTCATTTTAAGACATGTTATCCTATTACATTTTCATAATAACCAAGGAAGTGAGGCACAATATTCCATTTCTAGGATAAAAAAATTGAAGTCCAGGGGCAAAAGGGCTTTGCAGAAAGCCCAGAGTTATCAAGTGGCCAAGCAGGCTTTCTGTTCTAGAAAATACTAGGCCCTTGAGTACCAAGCTTACTGCTCCAACAGCCTTAGTCAGCTCTGTGCCCCACATACACCAACCAAGTCTTGCATAATCCAGGTTCTCTTGCCTTCGATTTCTCAAGTTTTTTCCCCAAATAACTCTACAAATGCCTCATATTAAAAAAAAGAAAAAAGGAAAGAAAGAAAAAGAAAAAGTGAAATATTCTCTTTACCATGTCCCTCCCACTGTAGAGTCAAAGCAGAGTACAGGCAAACAGTGCTGACTTATGGGCATCCTGCAGCCCAGGCTCCCGTGGGCCTTGGATGAGCCCGTATCTTGAAAACCACTTTGGTTTGAACTCTTTTCTCACACAGCACACATTCATAACTTGTAGTACTGACATTCTCCAGCGCATTTGGCAAAACATGTGTCATGGCCTCATGCAGGCAGGACCCACTGCCTTGATCTTTCCTATTGCTGTTGTTTTGGGTTGTAAGTACTTTCATTATACCAATTTATCTACCATATTTCATACATTTTATTATGAAATTATTAAAAAAAAATAAAGAAGTACATAGAACCAGAGTTAGGGGTATAGCTCAGTGCCAGCTTAGTTTGCGTAAGGCCGCGCATAGGGCTGGATCCAGAGCAAGACACACACACATACACACACACTTGTACATACAACTAGGGAAACAGGATAATGAGTTTTCTTAGGCCCAACCTCAGCTTCTACAATTATAAATATTCAGTGTTCTTTTCTCATCTGAATCCCACATATACTATTTCCCCTACTGCCATGACCCCATTGGAATATTTTAAAAGAAATCCTTTTATCATGTTATTTCATTCTTAAGTCTCTCTGTATATACACATACATGTATATATATGGCACAGAAGAGAGATTTTAATATCGTGATCACCATGCCATTATCATACCTAACAATTTTTAATGGAAAAAAGGTAAAAAAATTTCATAACAAAATAATAGGAGAATAACAATAGTTAATACATTGCATGTCAGTATCTTTAAAGTAGTTGCTTAGCATACAAAATGTGATCATAAAATTTTTTCGATCAATGTTAGCACAAACTTTCCTTTTTAATGAAATAAGAGACACTAATCGTATAACTTACTTGCATTTTTTCCTTTTTCCTACTGCCCTCACCCTTTTTACTGATCCTAGTTTCTTTTTCATCTTGAACAATTTCTTCCCATTTCACAGTATCTATTGTACATTTGGAACTTATCCACTCTTTCAGTTTCTTATACCAAGGAGATAATGCAATGTTTAAACATGTGAATCTGATTTATCTCACCTATGAATATGGTCTCAATTGATCACCCTGTGGCATGGTTGTTCTTCAGCTTTCATCATAGACTGATAGTTCCTAGAGGGTAGGAACATGTTTTCCTTCTCTACATCCTCGGTATCTTTTATTAAGTTAATGAACCTAAAAAGTCTCAAGTTTATCCTCCTTTATGACTGAGTAGTACTCCATTGTATAAAAATACCACATCTTTTTTATCCATTCCTCGGTTGATGGACACTCTAGTTATTTCCAAGATCTGGCTATTACAAATTATGCTGCTATAAATGTGAGCACACATTTATCGCTGTGGCATGATGTTTATCATTCTTCTGGGAAGACACCCCAGGAGCGGAATAGCTGGGTCAAATGGAACTCTGCTTCTAGTTTTTTGAGGAATCTCTACACTGATAATTCCACAGTGGCTGCACCAGTCTACACTCCCTCTAACAGTGAAAAAGAATTCCTTTTCCACCACAGCCCTGCCAGCATTCATTACTGATTTATTTCTTGATAGTAACCATTCTTTCTGGGGCAAAATGGAATCTCAGTGTTGTTTTAATTTGCATCTCTTGAATGACTAGCGATGTTGAATGTTTTTTCATATGTTTATTTACCATTTGTATTTCTTCAACTGAGAAATCATACCTAACAATTTTAACTATCATCTCTAAATATCCTCGAATACCCAGTAAGTATTTAAATATCCCTAACAAACTTTTATTTATTTACTTACTTACTTATTTTGAGTTGCTGAGAATTAAACCCAGGGCCTTGTATATGCTAAACAAATGATCTGCCACTGAGCGGCATCCACAGCCCTTCTAATCTTTTAAAAAAATTACTATTTGTAAAGAACTGTAGCTGGTTTTCATTAGAATCCAAAGTCCACATTTGATTGAAGTACATTTTAAATCTCTTTTAGTCTGTAATAATCCTCTGTCCCAATTGTTTTCCATGTCATTTGTTTGACAAAGAAATCCACTCATTTGTTTCACGCATGTTCTCTCTTTCTGGATACGGCTGGTTACTTTTTGTCGGTGGCAGCATATTCCTTTATTCTGCATGGTTTCCTTTTGGTTGGTAAACCAAGCAGCTTGATTAAACTCAAGTTTTCCCACCACAGTTCTTCCCTGGTGGTACGAGGCCCTCCTTGTTACATCTGAGGAGGCTGATTATCAGGTTTGTGTTTCTCTGTGAGTAGTCACTGGGGTCAGTGGGGTCATTGGGGTGTCAGCCTGAACCATCCATCATCAGTTTCCACAGTAACCTTTGGCCTTGTGGTTTAACAGCCATTAATTATTGCTGTCTAACTTTGTTGTTTTATTAAGAGAATTGTATCACCCTGTGTCATGCTTGTTCTTCAGCTTGCATCACAGACTGAGACTTCTTAGAGGGTTTTCCTTCTCCACATCCTCAGTATCTTTTATTAAGTTAATGAGCCTACAATTTTACGGCTAAAAAGTCAGAATCAATATTTGTTTGCTGTCACTTCCACAAACTCAGACCATAGTTTATTTGTAATTTGGAAAAGAAAAGGTTACAGCATTGTAAATAGTCCTGGGTGTATATGTGTGTTTGTGAGACAAAGTGTGTGTGTGTGTGTGTGTGTGTGTGTGTGTGTGTGTGTGTGTGTGTGTTCAGGCTCAGTAGTTACTGGCAAAGATTCTTGTGCCATGTTTTACTTTCATATTCCTGTTCAAACTTCTAGAGTTACATTCTGAACGAAAAGAAAGCACTGTACTCTAAACATCACTGGGTAACTTTCAGAGCAAAGGTAACAGCAAAGCTCTGTTGAAGGTCCTCCTACTTCTTAGAAATAACCCCTTTCCCATGTTTTCTTCTCCTCCTCCCACAAAGAACATCCTATGGCCTTGTTCTTCAACTTTACTTCCCAGTATTGAGCTCCCCAAGGTTATACCTTCAAAGTACACCTCTGACTTCTTTCAATCTTTGTTCTTTTTGATGTCCTCTACTCCAGTGATTGCAGGACTCATGCACCCACTCCTATTCCCTAAATCTGACTCTCTTTCCCTACCACTTATCTAAGTACCTTCCTGTCAGTTAGTTCCACCTGGAGGCCTTTCAGTGATCTTAAACTCAAAATATTCAACACCAAACTCATTATCTTTTTAAAAAACAACTACAGCAAAAACTAAGTCACTCCTGCTCTTGCACTTTTCAGTTCCCACTCATAGTGTTGCTATCCATGTGTTTGCACATCCGTGCAACAGGAAGTCCTCCTTCCAGCTTCTGACCTGGTTCATCACTGCTGTCACCATCCAAGTTCCCTCACAGATGTTAACTCCTTGCAAAGAAGTCTCAGGAAGTTTCTGCTGGTTGTAAAGTAAAGCTGAACTAATCAAGTGATCAAGCCTTTCCTTCACAACATGGCCCGAGCTTGCTTCTCCACCCTCATGTCTGTCCATCACCAGTATTTTAGGAATCTTAAACCAGGTGTGGTGGTGCATTTCTGTAATCCCAGCACTCAGGAAGCTGAGACAAAAGGATTGTCACCAGTTCAAGGCCAGCCTGGGCTGCATATTAAATGCAAGACTAGCCTGGACACCCTCTCAGAAATTTTTTTTTAAAAATTAAGGAATCTTTCCCTTCCTGAGTTTGAATGAACTTTCATTCTTTTCATCATGATGAAATTATTATAGACAGCTGAATTTTTAGAAATATTTCAGGAAGTCAGACAGAGCCTTGGAAAAGGTCAGTGCAGAAGACAGCTGTTGGCTGGAGGTACCTTCCTGGAAGGTCTGGCCTTAGGATAGAGAAATGACCATGCCCATGTGTCCCCTCAGATGAGTAGCAGTGATTGGTATTCTAAACAGGATTAATCACCTTGCATAGAGGACAAGAACCTGCCTGGCCTCTCTTTTCCAGGAAAAGTCCTTGTTCAGTCCATATGCAGGTACAATGTGACTTGCTTGCCCATCTGATCTCCACTTAATCATCACCTAAGTGACTATACTTGTAATCTTATTGGCTGACCATAATTTTGTTCCGTCTTATACCCACCTTGTCATTTTTCCATTGGATCAACATTGCCCAAGCAACTCTACATGTAATCTTACTAGTTTCATTTCATGGTTCTGCTCTATAAAATTCCCTTGAGAAGCAGGGTCCCTAAGGCCACCCATTCAGGGTCTGTCTTAGACAGAAACTTAATTTTTCTAAATAAATACTTTCTACTCTTAACCTCTGTTGTTCCTAGAATTCATTCTTCAATTTTAGGAAATAGGAGCTCAGTGTATTGGCTGCCTGGTAGGTTGGAAGTCATAGTTCTCTTATATTATTTGAATTATTTGGGGGTCCTATCTCAAAATAAACATTGCAATAAAATAGAAATTCTTTCTTTCCCTTTTCTTTGGGTGAAACAAAATCCTAGTCAGTATCAGATCTCCCAACCTACTAGATGTCTAGTACGAGTTTGTGTTCTCTAAAATCAAATTTTAGGAACAATGGAGGTTAAGAGCAGAATATATCTATTGAGAGAAAGGAGAACTTCTGTCTGAGAGAGACAGAAGTGTTTCTGAGTGAGTTGCCAAAGACTGTCTTTTCGAGGGACATTTATAGAGCAAAACCCTAAGGTGAGGAAAAATGGAAACTCACAAGGTGGGCATGAGTGGGACAGAATTATTGACCTTTGCAAAGAGCAAAGGTCTCTAAGCAAAGAGTAACAGACAAGGAAAGTGCAAGTACATCCCTCCCTCACCTTGCCTTGGGGCAAATTCACAGCCTGACTCTGAGAAAGGCACTCAGAAAGAGCAATACCTTTTCAAGAGAAGGAAATCCTGAGGCATGTGAGACTCAGAGTCTCAAATTCCATTTGGGAAATTATGCTGGAGTTTTCTCACGACACATACAATCTACATGGAGTTACTCTATGTTTCTCATCTCCAGAATACATGTGTATCTTTCTGTTATTTCTGTCACTTGGAATGACCTATTGTGTTCACATTCTTTAAAATGTCACCTTTTTTCTCTATCTTGATACTTTATTTTCCAAAGAGTAAACCCAAGTGCTTCCTTTTCTATATAAAGTTACACACATAATTCTACTTTATGCTTATCATGTTCTGAGTATTTGTTCACACATCTGCCTTCAGGAATCATGAAAGACAATACAGCTAATACCATAAATAGTATTTAATATCTCAAATATTAAATGAAATTAAATGAAACTGTATCTGTCACCACCAATCCAAAGCTTTGGCCATTAGCAAAAAATTATCTCTCATGATTTGAGGTTCATCTATGAGATTTTGTTTTTCAACTTTTTATTATGACCAAAATGAGAAGTACATTAATCACTTTCTAAGGGATATTTTATTGGGAAATAAGAGTTTATATTTAAGACAAATGAGTAGATATTAACTGGTTTCAAAGCCCATGGTAGATTATTGTTGAAGAATTCATTAATAGACCATAGCATACATACAATAGAGTTCATTCATGGCTTACATCTAAGGTTCTGAAATATTTAATGTTCCAGTAGAATTAAAAATAGAAATTATGCTTTGAGCCCAATGAAACAGTGGGGATTCAGTCTATAGTTTGGTGGATCATTTTAAAATGGTGAAGAGAGAGGTACCATAGACTAACAACCATTCTCAGAATAATACTTTCCTTGAATATTCAAGGTCAAGACAGAAGTAGAGACTTATAACAAATAATTAGAGTCTATAAGCAGAAAAGCAACAGCTAATATTAGTGCAAGCCTCACTTTTAAAAAAAAGTCCTAGTCTATTGATGATTACTTTCTTAAAGTCCCATGGGTAAATGATCATACTAGCCTCCCATCAGGAACAATGCATAGGAGTAACTCATACAAATAAGTTCTTGTCTACTTTGAAAGATTATAACAAAGGAAAAATCTTTCAGTCCCATTTTTATCACAATCCTTCAAGATTGGTTACATTGATTACTTTAAATAGAGGGCCCAGAAATATTTTTCAGTATCTAACTGACCTCAGTACCACATCTTATCCCCTTTAGTAGACAAAGAATGTTGTTTGTAGAAGAGATCTTGAGCTCCTTATTTATATATTTATTTATTTTGGTACTGGGAATTGATCTCATCACCCTGGGCTTGCAGGGCAGATACTGTGCCATTGAGCTATATCCCCAGCCCATCACTCATTTTTTAAGTACTAGAGACAATCAATGAAATGATCAAGAAATTTCCCAGCTATAAAGAACTGCATCACTGTTTATGTTTTGTAACAATTCTTCATCTTTGAAGTGTTTTCTGCTTCCCCACAGTGTCAGTACGTATACCTACATCAGTGTGTAAGAGATGTCCTCAGAGCAAGGAAGCTACGGAGCGAACAAGAAAACCCCCTGTTTCCAATCTACGAAAATGTGAATCCAGAGTATCACAGAGGTAGGATCTTAATTCAATTACTCTTCAGTACACTTTTCAAAACATGGTAGACTGAAAATTATTAATAACCTAAAGCTCTCCTAATATGTTGCACCTACTTTTTCTCCTATCTAGAGGGTCCTCAAAAAAGGTGAAACAGGAAGGAGAATCAGAGTGATGAGGAGATTCCCACAGCTGAGCAGCAATTCCTTCTGTATCTTTACTGCTGAGCCCAAAATGCCGTCTGTTGAGGACTGCTCAACATTTCTTTTCCAAGCAATAAGCATTATTGGGGAGGACACACTGAAATCACCACTGTCAATTCAAATTGTAAAATTGTTTTGGAGAAGAATTTGGCAGTTGAACCATGAGAGATCTTAATGTGTTATCTTGTGACCTAGTATTTCTTTTACCATCTTAAGTGCAGAAAAAGCTTTATACATAAAACTTTTCACAATTAAAGGTTTAAAAAAAACCCACAGTTGAAAGCTGGAGTGAAAAACTGTTCAATAGAGGACTGTATTGTTTATCTCTGCATTACCACAATAAAATACCAGAAGCAGATAAATTTATGAAGAGAAGAGAAAACGTTTATTGAGCTCACAGTTTGGAAGGCTCAAGAGCATGGAGTTTGTATTGGTCAGTTCTGGTGAGGATCTTATGATAGACACACTCAGAGGAGCACATGTCAGACCAGGGGGTCACATCTAGAGCCAAGAGAACAGAGAGGTTGGTGGGTCACTCACCTGTTTATAACAGCTTTCTTATGAAGTCTTCCATGGAGTTTCATGAGGCCTAAGACCTCCACCCAGGTGACCCAAGGACCTCCCACAAGGCCCACTTCTCAAACGGTCTATCATGGCCCTTTCTAATGCTGCCATTTTGCAGACCAAGCCTTCCATCAGGATGGACCCTTGACAGACACAAACCATATTCAATTTAATACAGTATTATGTAGTCATTAAGAATGATATAGCTGGGCATGGTTGCTCACACCTGTAATCCCAGCACTCGAGAAGCTGAGCCAGGAGGATCGTTGTGAGTTTGAGACCACCCTGGGCATGCCTGAACTGCATAGAGAGACCCTATCTCAAAAAGACAAAAAAAATAATAATAATATAGATATACATATAGATATAGATAGATATAGATATAGATATAGATATAGATTGTTTGGTTTTGTTTGTTTGCTTGTTTGTTTTGATGTATGGTCTTGATATGTTGCCTAGGCTGACCTAAAACTCTTGAGTTCAACAATCTGTCCCCTTTAGCTTCCATGTGGTTGGGGTTATAGGCACATGCACCACACTTGGTTCAAGAATATTTTTGAGGATATTACAGTACTGTGGATAGTCTTATAAAGAAGTTGTTTATATTTCTATAGCAAATTACCTGAGACCAAATATAGCCAATTATCTGCAAAGAAAAGAGATTTGAGGGGGCTGGGGATTTAGCTCAGCAGCATAAGCATCTGCCTTGCAAGCAGGTGGTCGTGAGTTCGATCCCCAGTACCGATAAAAAGATAATTTTAAAAAAAGAGAGATTTGAGCTGGATCCTAGCTCAGTGGTGCATACTTAGAATAGGTTCAGTTTCCAGAACCATACACACACACACACACACACACACACACACACACACACACATACAAAAGATAAAAGGAGAAAGGATTGGTCAGCTTTTTGTCACTGAGATACAATACCCAGCACACACAAGTTAAAAGGATGAGATTTAATTTCTCTCTCAGTTTAAAGGGCTTCATACCATGATCACCACGACTGAGCAGGAACATCATGGTGGGGGTTGGGGGGTGGGTTGAGCAAAGTTGCCTAGTTTGAGTCAGCAGGGAAGCAGAACAGTGAAACAGCACCAGAGAGGAAGAGGGGAGGGAGTAGACACAGTATCCAGTGTCACACATCTAGGACCCACCCAGACACACTTAACAGTGTCCTTTACTGATCCCCTAGACAGCTCCCCTACCAATCAAGTTTACACAACTAAGCTTACCCACCACAAAGAAGAAATAGAAAAGGGAAAGAGAAAAGAAGTTTTCTTTAGCTCCAGTTTCAGAGGTCAGAAGCCAGAGCAGGCAGATGCCATCTATTCCCCCTGCATGGAGCCCTCATGGCTGAACCACAATATCATGACAGCATCGCAGAGCAGACCACAGATGACAGTGAAGTGAGAGGCAGCACGCTGTGCTGTTTTATGACAATCTTGATCTTGCAGAATCAGTTCCTTCCTAGAAAACCTTACCCACTCTGGAGGACCAGCAGTAATTCCTTCACAAGGGGAGTCATGAAACTGGCCTTCCATTGAGACCCATTTCTTAAAGTACCCCCCACTCCGTACCATTACACTGGGGACCAGGCTTCCAACACAGCAGTCTTTGGGTGACAAACCATACCTGAAGCATAGGATAAGTTAGGTAAAAAAAGCAAAATGAGTGGGGAGTAGTGGGCATGCCTGTAATTCCAGCACTTGGGAGACCTGAGGCAGGAGGAGTTCAAGGCCAGCCTGGGCTACAAAGTGGGTTAAAGGTCGGTCTACATCCTATAGTGAAACTCTGTCTGAAAAAGACAAGAAAGGAAGAAAGAAAGAGAGAGAGAGAGAGAGAGAGAGAGAGAGAGAGAGAAGAAAGAAAGAAAGAAAAAGAGAGAGGAGAGGAGAGAAGAGAGGTGAGGCAAGGCAAGAAAAGGAAAGGAAAGGATGTAAAACAAAAATAATGCATAGGACAAAAAAGAAAAAAATCAGGGAGAATATATAATAATAAAATAAACTTCTCTGAGCAGAAAAATACATGATTTTTTTCTTCCACTGAAAGTATATTTGTAGGATAAGCAGGCAACACTTTTCAGATATAAAGTTTTTTAGAAAAAATGTATAAACCTTTTAAAACACTGCTTTGATCAAGCCATAATTAAGTGACAAGAGAAGAGTCTGTCTGCCTCTTCCTACTCTGGCCCATCATTATCACACAAGATGTCACTGCCTGCCAGATGCTTTAGTTCCTTGCTTCTAGAACTTATCTCTACTTATAAATCAGATGATTCTTCATTGACAAAAGTTATTTTAGATCTATCTTATTTCAGATCTTGATTTCTAAATGACTGTCAATTGCTAATGTCTCCTAACCCTCTATACTGACCAGTCTAATCAGCATATTAAAGAGTTAATAGTCTATAAGGTATAAATTAAAAGTTGCTCTTTAGAAGAGTTATTTGTAGATCAGATAACCCTTTTGTGTTGTAAATAACTACCCCCCTCCATTTATCTGTAGAGCAAATTAAGGTTTTTGCATGTCATATTCTTTAAGAAGCTCCAGAATGGAGGGAGCTCTGGGGAATCTAAGAAGTTCCTTTGTTTTGTTTTGTCTCTATAGTCTTTTTTTAGAGTAATCTTGATGGGGCCTAAAATAAACTATGGGATAGAAAAAGATAACCACCGTCTGAAGGCAGATCTTAGCTCCAGAACTATGAACTACAGCTATTATTATTACTAGCCCTGAATGACTTATTCTGTCTCTCTGGGCCCATGGCTTCAGCTATAAAACCAGAGAGGATGGACTCTGTGCTAGCCCCTTCCTGCAGGACGATCTATGTTTCTAAATGGAATGATCTTGTCCCATGGAGATGGTCTCATCATAAAACATACTCAGCTTTAGTCATGTTCACTAGTCTCTTTCATTTATAATTTTCATAATAGATCAATTGTGATCCACCTTGCTATAGTCTCTAATTGTGTTGTCTTTTCTTTCAGATGCAGTCTATTCAAGGCGTTAAGACTATGCCTGAAGATCTTCTGGATAAAAATTTTTCACTGTGTGATTTATTTAAAAAAAAGCTTCCTTGATGCCCTGCAGAGGTGCCAGCTATTTCTGTTGATATTATGTATAATTTATTAATCTGGAGAATGTTAAAGAATTTATGTAATTTAAAGGTAACAGATATTGTTGTACATAGTTATGTTTTGTAGTTTCTCCTGTAAATATGTATTTTTTCATAATGTTTAATATTAAGCTTTATATAATACTATTTTTCCACTCTGAAGTGTTTATGGCTTGTTCTACATAAGCTAGTGCAATCAGTATGACAGGGCTACAGGTGAATTGTTTATGGAGATGGCTGCAGAAACAATCCCTGGGGCTGTTTCTTATCTATCTAAATACTCACTGATCAAGACACGGGGCCAGACCACAGAGAATGTACAGTATGACTAGTTCTGCTGTATTTCTGTCCTAGGAATCTTGAGATTCAAAGATGACCCAGATGCTACTAGTAGAAATACAGCTAAAACAGACAAAACAAAACAAAATAAAGGACAAGATTAGAATTTGGGGTACCTTAGTGGCAAATGTATGCTTATTATATACAGGCACTAGGTTCAATACCCAGCATACACACACACACACACACACACACACACACACACACACAAATAATAGTAATAATAATAAAAGAAAGAAAATTAGGATTAGGATTACACAGCACCCAAGATAAGCCAGGTCACTGTACTTAAACTAGTTGCTCTCTCCCCTTTCTCCTGCCAGGATATCAAGCCAAAATGGTCATCTCACAGGCTGTGTAACTTGCAGGGCAAGCCCAGGCTACAGGGTGTGTCAGAAAATGGGTATTTCCCTCTTCAAGGTATACTTATGAGACCCTACCAAAGAAAAATTTGAAAAGCATCTGGAATCCTTGTAACTACCTGAGAGAATAAACTAGAGATGCTTGGCTTTAACTAGTAGTTACATTTATTGATCCTACAGCTTTATTTGTAGAAAGAATATATTTTTCTTCAAAGTATATATTTTTCCTTCCTATCATAAAGTCCCATAAGTAACAAAATGCAGGTATTTGGTGCAATAATTTAAAAATAATATAAGTAACAATTTCCGATGATTTCACATCCAGTCTAGAAGACTTCTTGGTGTTATTTGAAGCTCGTAAAAAAAGGACACTTCATAAGGATACTTTGACAAGTAATAAAAGGATTTAAAATTCTTACTGCTTTTCATTCTCCATTCCGCCTTTGTGAGGTGTCAGTGTAGGTTCTGACTCTGAATCTTGACAACTAAGTTTGTATCTAGAAATGAAAAGGTACAACAGAGCTTTCAGTGTGGCAGATACAGCACCAGAAAAAATTAAGGGTCAAAGGTTCTTGAGCTGTGCTATTAGGGATCATTTTTCCTACACTTAAAAAGAAAGCAAGAGAAAAACAAAACAATCAAAACTAACATTGCTTGGTGTAAAGCTCATGGACACCTGGCAAGATAAAATTCATTTTCGATTTTAACTCACCCAGAAACCCTACCTACAATCTGTGAAACTTTGCTCCAGAACTCACGTGCTTCTATCCACATCAAGCAGATGTATCATAATAACAAAGTTAGGTTTTTGTTACTATTTTCAATGCAACTTAAAAGTGAGCCCAGCTGAGGGCTTGAAATAACCAAACCAGTGTAGAACAGCGGTCACCTTCCACAGGCTGCTCCCTGGCCAAGGCTGAGGCGGCTCCAGCTGTAAACCATTAGATTCAGAAGAAAAAGCAATAAATTACACAAACCAGGAATAACAACTATTAAAACATACATATCTATACCAGTGAATAACATGCATACACTCTCGTAACGTCTAAGTTGAAGTCAGAATTACAGAAATGAATACGACAGAGGATAATTTTACATTCTTTTAGTCAAACTCAAGAAATATTGATTCCTACTCCATGGCTAATTTTAAATCTCCTTAGCAACAAATATTACACTATCCTTCTTGTTCCCAGGAAGACTAAACACATAACCTAGTTGATCTATTTATTAAATTTAGGAGATAAAAAAGGTCTCCTTGACATTCCACTGAATTGGATATATTTCCATTTAATTGCATCATGTGGCTGGGTCTTGGTAAACACTCTATTTCCTGTTGTGGTGGGCATCCTGTCTGTGCACCTGTGTGGTACACTTTAATCATCAAGGCTTCAAAGTGCTTTTATGCTGTCACATCTTGGGAGAGTTCTATCTTGCATCTCAATAATTATTTATCCAAGTGCCTTATCATTAACTCCTTTAATCTCCTCTTATTAAAGCAATTTTGCATTATGATTCTGTTGTTCTCTGGAAAGCAGCCAATTTTTTGCCTCTTGAATTGGGCTTTTCAAAGATTCACATCCCTGTCTAGGCTTGCACATATTTGTCCTAAGTAATTTCCCATCCCTTAGCATCTCTAATGCTTACTGGTTCACTGTTTACACCCTCCCTGTTGAGTATGTCTGCCTTGCCAGTTGAATGTGATTATATCTCTTGGTTGTCTTATCTCCATTAGTATAATTTCATAGACTCCACCCTACAGAAGAGATGAGCATAATTTCATTTTAAAATACTATAATAGCCAACACATACAATCTGAGATCATTTTACTTGGAATAATCTTTAATTAATTTTGTTATTAGCTCTTGAAAAAAAGCCCCAAATTACATGAAAAAATAATGTGAAGCTATTTAGCAGATGTCCAGCAATACAAAAATAGAGAACACATGTTACACTTCACACTCTGATTTTCTAGCTTTGGTGTCTAAGGATCCAGTTTCTCATATTAAACATTCCCTTTATTCTTTGCTGTAAAATTATCTCCTGTATAATTCTCATTTAGTTAGCTTTCTGGGAATTCTTTGAGGTTGGAATCTTGAAATCCTAAAGCTACAAGATCTGTCTGATAGTATCAGAGCCCCAGCCCGGAGATTTTAGCCTGCACACATGGACCAGACCCAACCTAAGCAAGAAACAATGAATAGGTAGCAAAGTATTTGTTTAGCAGTGCAGGGGCTTTTCAGGTTTCATTTCACTGAAAAAATGAAAGTACTCAATCAACCAAGACAAAGTGGCAAGAAGGAATGAGCAATCCTCCTCTGAGTGGCTGGGAACAAGCTCTCAGGCCTACTGAAGAATCAAAGTATAATATGCCATATTTTTCCAAATGCCCTCTTAATTTTCTGAGGATCTTTGGTCTAAGATTTAGAATCACATCAGGTATTCAAAGAATGTTTCATATCAAAAGAAACTCTGTAAATCATGACTGCAGAAGGCAATGATACAAAAAAGGGAAAACATTTGAAAAAAACAATTGAACCAGATGTCAGGAAGATAAAAATGTCATTTTACTGTGTGGCTGGACTGTTCTTTACAAACTCTTATCATATATATCTGTTAGCATATACAGGTTGAACATTCCTAATCCAAAAATCTGAAATTTGAAATGCCCCAAAAACTAAGGTTTCTAAGGACTCAACATGACAACATAGCAGAAAATTCTACAACTGACCTTCTGTGACATATCATAGTCAAAATGCAGGTGCATTCAAAATGCTGCATAAAATTATCATCAACTTTTTGTATAAGGTAGACATGAAACATAAATAAATTTCATGTTTGGGCTTGGGTTCTATTCCAAAGAATATCTATATCTGTATCCATATCTATATCTATCTACATGAATTCTCCAAATTCCAAAAATGTACAAAACATAAAATACTTATAGTCTCAAGTATTTCAGATAAGGAATATTAAACCTTTATCACATTTTTAGGTATTTACTTTGATTATATTGGACTAATGATTTTGCCAATTAAGCAATTGAGTTGATTCATCCAGTTTTATCAATTGACCAGGTGTTTGACTAAGTGTACAGGGTTTGGCATTTTAGACATACTACCTTAGATTCCTATAGTGCATGATGACCTTGAAAATATTTGGCCATTTGAGTTAAAATGCAAGGTAACATTTGATGCAGCAAAATCCTCACTGTTATGATAACAGCAAAAATCTGTTCTGTTCTAAAAATGTTTCTAGCAATGAAAATATTTCTGGCTTAAAGAATACTCGACTTGTAGGAAGGCTCCTTTAGAATAAATGCATGTATTTTATTTATATAAAGCGTGTCTATATAGATGCATTTATTAAATAATAAAATTGTTGGTTAATGCTCCTAAAGTAGAAGTTTATATAATAGAAGTAAAAGACATTAAAAGATTTACCAAAAATTATTTTTATAACTTATATGCCAATGCACATGATGTTATATAAGACACCAAAATAAGTTATTCAGAACTGAATATGTCAGACAAATGCAATGTGTCCCTTCAAGAATAGTCACAAGATGAGTTAGTTATGGCTGTTTTCTGCCTCAAATAATTTCTTTCAAGAAATATCGCCCTCACCCTAACAGTAAGTTTTCAGTTATGATTGAGATACTGTGCTTCAGTTGCTGTGTGTAAATAAACAACCCACCAAGAAAGGAACACATGCAATGGTAGCTTTAGGAATCTAGCAGAGTTCAACTGCATTCATTTACAAGTTAGTGGGAGGGTCTGTGTTGGTGTCCATGGAAAGTCCCAGTCTCACCCACGCTGCCAGGAGTCTGGACCAATGTGCTCACCTGAACAGTACTTGATCTCTCATCTTCCATGTGACACTGACCAGATTTATAAATTCTTCAAAGACAGAGATCAAGTCTTTAATCTGTTCTCTACTACTACCTTATAGAAAATAATTCATGGTTCAAAGGCATTCCACATAAACTTTCCATTGGAAGTTGCTCCTAACCTGATACTTTGGATGTTAGTGTCAGTGGCCTAATTCTAATGTCTATGGAAGTTCATCAGGCTCTGCCCTTTGATCTGTATGAAGCATAAGTATATAATGTAAATAAATCTAGCAACTGAGTTTATTATGTTCTATAATAGAGCACTTTTATATTTTTAAAAGCATTTGTTTTTTCTTGGCATATCTAATTAAAATGGCAGTAATTGATTCCATTTTTTGCATACTATAGCATCTAGCCACAATACTGTGTTTTTAACCAACCCCATTTGAGCAAAGAACTTCACTAGTCTATTTAAATTATGTATTTGCTTAATATATTTTCATACTTGTAACTGTGATAAAAGTCTATATAGTATATTGCATACATTCTCACCAGTATAAAAATAAAACTGCTGTTTATTGAAGAATGTCCTGTTTCTTATTCACTTGCTCTTCATTTATTAATTTTTGTCATCCTTTTGCTCAGAATAAAGGTCAAAACTTCCTGCTTTTAAATGAGAAAAATCTTTCAGGACCTTATCAAGAAGATGATGATTGTTTTAACCTCTATTCCTATGCTAAATTGGTTACCTACAATGTTGTTGGCTGTCTCCAACTAAATTCTTGTATTCAGTTTTTTAGCTCATTAGCAACCAAAATATCATCTATTACCAACAGGACTGGTGTATCCTCAGAGGTGCTGGCCTGGCTGGGTCACTGCAGGCCTTTCAAAGACACTTCACACATTAGCGGACACTATGACATTTGGTAAAGAACTGCTGTTCCTGCTTCCAGAAATACAATTGACTCTCACATTTCAGTTGAAAGATCTGTGTCCTTCACAACTCTTATATTTTATTTTTCTACAACTTACTCCAGAAACACCTATTTTTTAAAGTGCAATAATAGATTTACATATAAAAAGCAATCCTTTTAAAATAGTTTCTGGATTCAAATGATTAGGCAAGCCAAGTAATTTGATTTATGATGTTAGACTTTTCCAAAGAACCTCTGATGGAATTTGCTCATAAGAAGAGAGAATTACAGGAATCAGGTATGGTGATGCGTGACTCAGGAGCTGACACGGGTGGATGTTGTGGTCTGGGTCAGCTTGGGTAACATAACAAGGTGGCATCTCAAAAAGAAAAATTAAAAAATAGAGAGAGGGAGAAAATATTGCAGACTGAAGGTGTAACTCTGTGGAAAACTGCTTACTATGTATGAGGCTACCGGTTAGATCCCCAGGACTGCCAAAAGAAAGAAAGAAGGTGGGGAGAAAAAAAGAAAAGAAAGAAACAATATTACAATTTAAACTAATCACTGAGTGGTTTTGCTGATATAGGTTCCATAATCATAAAGTATTAGAGTGCAAATAGGCAACTTGGAACCAACAATGTAGGAGAACCCAGTCTCTGGTTTAAATGTGAGAGACTGAGCTAGGTGAGGGTGTACCTACTTGTAATAGCAGCTTCTAGGGAGGCTGAAGTAGAAAGATTATAAATTCAAGCCTGGGCAACACAGTAAGGCATTGCCTCCAAAAATAAAAAATAAAATGTAAAATTATAAAGCAAAATAGGACAATGCTTGAATCTTAACCCAGTCTTCCTATTACTTGAAGACATGATCCTGCCTACATTTAGATGTAGACAAATAAGAAAGCTGCTCAAAAAAGTAAGACAAAACAAAGCTCTTCAGAAATCTGGACCCTGGGGTCATGTGCAATGCTGAGACAGAGCCATCAGTGCACCCTGCAATATTTCGCATGATTAATCCTCTTTTTATTATCACATGTCTGGGGACCTCCACTTGCTAACAATTTTAGGCAATATTTTAGTCACATCTTAGTAAAATTTATGACATTGTAACAAAATAAAATAAGAAAAGGAAAAACATGCTTTTGCTAACATAATACCATCCTGAAACTTTATTAAAGACGATTAAATCAAACTGCCTAGAGTGCAGAGGGTTTCTACAGTGAGATTTTGAGAGAATTGGTAAGGCTTTTTCATGAACATTTTAGGAGCATTCATAATCAAAGAATAATAAATTACTGATAGAGAATAAGTCTGTGCGACAGAATCACTCAGTGATAGTTGTGTGCAGGAGGGGAGGTAACAAACTTTTATCTCTTCACCACAAGGAGTAACAAACTTAAACTCCATTTTAGCTCCCCAACACAGGACTTCCCAAGAGAACTTTTATTATTACTATAAAGAATTTTTTATTTATCTAGCCTTCTCAGGGTTTTAGTATGACAAAGACTCCACTGACCAAAATTTTAGTCAGATTCCTCTGAATTCTCAGCCTTACCTTGGGCTTCCCTTTGATTCTTATAGAATCCAGATTACATCAGTTTTGTGAAAAGCCCCAGACCTTGGTACACGCCTCTCCTCAATCCTTATCACTTATGGCCTACCTTTGGCAAGAATGATTTTACTTCTTTTTTTTTTAAATTCTATTTTAAAGAGGGTAAAATTAAACAGAACAAAACAGATCATAAGTAAACAACGTAAGAGACACAGATTTCAAAGCAAGACAACTGGAGATCTTCACTGTCTATCACACTGTCTCTTGTTTTCTTCCAAATGGTTGTCCATATCTTCACACACAATGAATTCATACAAGACAAAATAGTACAGAACTGATGAGAACAGGATGAAGAAGGTGTTTTAGATCTTCAAGACCAGACAATAGGGAAGTCAACAATGGCTGCCATAATGACTCTCATTCTCTTCAAAATAGCTGTCCATACCTTCACATATGTTGAAATTAAACAAAACAAAACAGACTAAAATCACTCTGAACAAAGAATAACAGTATTGCTGGATTTCACATTATGACACTATGGAATCAGCACTGGGTACCTTAGTGTCTCTTTCTTCAAAGTAGTTGTTCATTTCATCATGCATTATATAATCAGTTCTCATAAACTGTTTAGAGGTTCTACGCATGCATGAGTCTCTACATGTACACCTATTCTTTCTGTATTACAGGGAAAAACAAACAAAAGAAGACCAAACAAAACCAATTCCTAGAACAACATGAAATGAAAAGACATATAAACACCAATAGCAAAGAGCCCAGAACACTGACAATATAGGTCTTCAAAACAAGGTGATATGACCATAACTAGGATTGTTATTTTACATAATGATCTTCAAGAGTTCCTCAGGTCACCATACAATAATATGCACATGCACAACTGTTCCAATCCTATGAATGTTAATTATTTTGTTCCAAGAACTTAACAGAATTTGTAGCAGAATCATCTTATCTATACTAAGTGTGTTTATATAATTTTAGACATTTTCTTTTCCCTTCCTTTTTCTTTTTCCTCATTTTCCCTGAGATATTATTCTTTCCCCCTTTAAGCAGATTCTTATCCTTTCACTGTATTTATTGAGTTTTTTGTACCTTATGTATTCTTACCATTTCTTACACTAGGTAGACTATATGGTATTTACACATGTGAGTTTGATTTATTTCACTTATGAATATGGTCTCAAGTTGCACCTATTTACTTATAAATATATCTCCATGTGATTATTTTCTTTATAGCAGAGTAGTACTCCATTGTATAAAAATACCACATCTTTTTTATCGATTCCTCAGTTGATGGGCATTTTGGTTATTTCCAAGATCTGGCTATTACAAATTGTGCTGTTATAAACATGGGTGCACATATATCACTGTGGCATGATATTTTCAGTTCTTCTGGGAATATGCCCAGAAGTAGAATGTCTGGGTCAAATGGGATCTCCAATCCCAGGTTTTTGAATAATCTCTAAACTGACCTCCACAGTGGTTACATCAGTCTACACTCCCATGAACTGTGTGGAAGAGTTCCTTTTTCCTCACAGCCTCTTGAGCATTTGTTGTTGGTAGTTTTCTTTATCCTGGCCATTTTTTCTGGTGTGAGATGGAATCTCAGTGCTGTTTTAATTTGCATTTCTTTAATTAACAATGATGCTGAACATTTTTTCATGTTTTTATTTGCCATTTATATTTCTTCATCTGAGAAGTGTGTATTTACATCTCAAATGCCCGTTTTTGGAATTGGTCTTTGAATTTTGGGGATCTGATTTTTTTATCCTAATTTGTGGGTTTTCTTTTCAGTATGCAGGAGGTTTCTTTCGACATGCAAAACCTCTTTAATAAGACACGATCCCAGTTGTTGATTCTGTAAAGTATTTCACGTGCAGTTTGATTCTTGTTCATGAATTCTCTATCTACCACTATGTCTTCAAGATTTCTACCTACTTTGTCTCTCAACAAATTTAGTGTTTCTGTTTTAATATTTAGATCTTTGATCCATTTAGACTTTAGTACATGGTGATAAGCATGGGTCTAGTTTTAGATTTTGGCATATGGAGAGCCAATTTTTCCAACACCATTTATTGAAGAGACTTCCTTCCAATGGACATGTTTGGCCCCCTTTATAAAAGATAAGGCGGCTGAGTGTGTTTTTAGTTGTAGTTGTATCTTCTAATCTATTCCATTTATCTTCAGGTCTGTTTTTATTCCAGTACCATGCTGATTTTATTACAGTATAACTTCATAGTATAACTTCAAGACAGGAACATAATACCTCCTGCCTTGCCTTTGTTGCTTAGAATTGCCTTTGCTATTCTAGGTCCTCTTCTGGTTCCAGATGAATTTTAGGAGTGATTTCTCTAGATCTGTGAGGTATGCTAGTGGCATTTTGATTGGAATTGCATTAAATCTGTACAACAATTTTGGAAGAATAGCCATTTTCCACAATATTTGTTCTTCCTATCCATGAACAAGGGATATCTTTCTATTTTCTGAAGCCCTTTTCGACTTCTTTTTCAGGATATTATAATTTTCCTTGAATAGATCTTTTGCTTCTTTTGTTAGATTAATTCCCAAGTATTTCATTTTCTTGGATGCTATTCTAAAGGCTGTGGCTTCTTTTATTTTTCTCTCAGTGGTTTTAGTGTATAGTAATGCTATGGATTTTTGAGTGTTGATTTTGTATCCAGCTGCATTACTGAATTTATTTATTATGCCTAGGAGTCTTTCAATGGAGTTTTGGGGATCTTCTATGTAGAGTAGCATGTCATCTGCAAATAATGATAATTTAACTTCTTCTTTTCTTATCCTTACTCCTTTTACTTCTTTCTCTTGTCTAATTGCTCTGGCTAGTATTTCTAGCACTATTTTGAATAGGAGTGGTGATAATGGGCATCCTTGTCTTGTTCCTGATTTGGTAAAGGCTTTCAGTTTTTGGCTATTTAATCTGATGCCGGCTGTTGGTTTGTCATAGACAGCTTTTAACATATTGAGGTAAAGACCATCTATTCCAATTTTCTGTAAGGTTTTTATCATAAATATGTGTAGGACCTTATCACAAGCTTTTTCTGCATCTATAGAAATAATCATGTGGTTCTTATTTTTGGCTCTATTG